GAAGTCCAGGAAGCCTCAGACCTAGGAGAGGATGAAGACTTCCATGAGGGGAATGCATTCGAATACGAAGAAGCCGATACGGTTTGCTTCGACACTATGGAAGACGCCCAATTTGCAGCGCATGATCTTCATCGCCAAGAAGTCCAGGAAGCCTCAGAGCTAGAAGAGGGCGAAGATCTCCATGACGAGAGCGAGTTTGAATACGAAGAAGCTGATACAGTTTGCTTCGACACTATGGAAGATGCATACCACGCAGAGAATGATCTGCATGACGAACAAGGTCAGGTGGCAGACTCAGACATGGAGGACACAGATTACCCCGAAGACCAGCTGGCGGTATTGGAGCGGGAGATCGAGGAAGAGCCCCAAAATTTACCAGAGGCCATTCAAGAACCCGAGGAAGAGCGACAAGTTATGAGCGAGCAGAATGATGTGGAAGACACAGAGTCTATCCTGGATGGTCCTGAGTTTGCTACAATATCGCCAAAGCCTGCTTCGCCACATGAGAACCACCATGCCGATGATATTGCAACCCCGGTCCAAAGGACGCAATCCATTGCTTTACCACGATCAAGTCCCACGGGCGGTGAATCTACTCCATTGGCCTTGAATTGCCCAGCCAACTCCGAGAATGGTCATGACTCCACCCTCGATGCCAAGAATGCCAATAATGCCATCATTGACGCGCCCCTGCATGAAGAAAATAGTTCGACGCCAAACACCCAGGTCGATAGCCCTGCGTTAATGGCACCTAGTCTCTTTAACACACCAAGCGTTATTGATCAGCACCAATCCCCTGCTGAGGCTAGCTTAGGTTTTACGCCATTGGCACAAAAGTTTGGCCGTTGGGAACAAAATACCCCTTCCCAAGCTAGATCACTCCGACCACGTCGCCGTGGAGTTTTCTCGTTAGTAGGCCCCTTGGACCGTACCAACACTGAAACTCCGACAAATTCTGAGAGTGTGTCGTATCCCAATTTGTCAAAGAGTCCTTTGGCAAATAGTCTCTCTTTGTTTGCCCAATCGCCCCTTCAGCCTCAAAGTGCTTGCATAAGCCCTGAGTATGAACCGACTCCACGGCCATCTTCCATCTATGAAGATCATCAAATAATTGAATTGTCAAACAAAAGCACGGATATCTTCGAAGATCCCGACTCGGAAATCATTGGACTAGAGCATACTTCTGCCGCCGAAGTCCCGCAAGATCAGGGCCAAGAGTTCCATCTACTCGATGACAAAGAGAACTGTGGCCCAATTCTTCCATCAACTCCAATGAAGGCTCAAGTCCAACCTGATGAGTTACGCACCATTCATACGGTGTCAAAAGTGCCTCTGAAAGCCGAAGGCGACGTATCACCTCTCAAGCTGCCCCGCAAGAGAGGTCTTTCCCTCTCAAGCACATCTCCCACTCGGTCTTCTCCGCGTGTTCGGAAGCCAACCTCTATTGCACTCAATGACACTGCACCGATTCTGTCTCCCTCTCGGAAATCTCCACGGGTGATGAGAAGTCCAGCACCAAAACGCCGTTCCATCACGGGTAGACGCAGCAGTGTCAAAGCACCAGTGATGGCTGCGCCCGGTACTCCCGTCGCAACCCCCAGCCCTGCCAAGAAGGCACGTCGTAGCATCAACACTGAACAGAAGGCTCTGCACGGGGCAGTTGTGCATGTGGATGTTCATACCACTGAGGGTGAGGATGCCTCTGGTATCTTTGTGGAACTTTTGCAGCAAATGGGCGCCCGATGTGTGAAGTCCTGGTCTTGGAACCCTCGTTCCAGCCTCTCGCCGATTGATAGCGTAGAGCCCAAGGACCTGAGAGTTGGCATCACCCATGTTGTGTACAAGGATGGTGGGCTGCGGACTATGGAGAAAGTTAAGAAGGCAGCGGGTCTTGTCAAGTGTGTTGGAGTCGGTTGGGTCCTTGAGTAAGTCTATCTTCTGTGCATCCTTATGTTATGCGACTTTTCTGACTGTTATCTCTAGTTGTGAACGGGAAAACCAATGGCTCGATGAAACTCCGTATGCAGTTGACAGCTCTATAATTCCTCGCGGAGGCGCCAAGCGCCGCAAGAGTATGGAGCCTCGTGCATTGAGCAATGTGAATGGGACACTCGTGCGCATTTCCGAATCCCCCGCGCCATCTGCCGGTGGACGTCGCAGTGGTGTCAATCCAGGTGCCGTTGAGGGTTTCCGCAAGATCACACCTCCGACCCACCAGCCGATGCCGTCCACACCCCCACAACAATCTTCTGCTGATAGCTACCAATTCCCTGCTACTCCGGGATACAACTTTGCCAACCTTGATGCCATTGGCATGTCGCCCGCTACACCCGGATTCCTTGGAAATCGCTCCAAGCTTATCCAGCAATCTTGCCCACCAAAGCAGAGCAACCGGGGTCTGTTCCCGAGCGCTAAGCCTGCGAGTATTATGCTCGATGAGGGACAAGACGAGGAATCTAGGAGACAGCGCCGATTCCGCATGGAGGCTGCCAGGCGCAAGAGTCTTGTTTACAAGCCTGCTGTTGCCAGCCCTCTTGTTCCTTGATTTTATTATTTGCATTGTTCGCGTTTTGTAGATTCATACCCAGTCACTGTAAATATGGGGACTCTCTTTGTTTGGGCGTTTCTTAAATTTTGCCCCACGACGGCGAGTTGCATAGGTTGGATTGTTGTGCAAGGTTATTGGTCGTTACTTTTTGTTTCGAATCTCAGTTAAATCAATTCAATACCAGATGATTTAAACATACTCATACTCGTGGTGAACTTGGAAAGAAATATACTTTTTATTCAGAAATTTGGTCATGATACCCGAAATCTTTTCGCTGTCCCGCTTCAACTATCTCGTGTCCAATGAACCGAAGCGATGGTATTACTCCTCCGACTCTTCACGGTAGAATCCAGCAACCAAGAAAGCGAGCTCCAAAGCTTGCTTCTCGTTCAAGCGTGGATCACAGAATGTCGTGTACCGCTCCCCAAGTCCATCCTCGGTCAGCCCAGCAGCACCACCAACACACTCAGTGACAGCCTCTCCAGTAAGTTCAAGATGCATACCACCAAGGAATGACCCAGCAGCGCGATGGATTTCCAACGCCTGCTTCAACTCAGACAAGATATCCGTGAAATGGCGAGTCTTCACACCAGATGGTGTGCTCTGTGTATTGCCATGCATAGGATCACATTGCCAGACAGGGATATGACCAGAGGCCTGCACAGCGGCAATATGTCCGGGAAGGAAATTAGCGATTTTCGAAGCGCCGTACCGCGAGATCAGAGTCACTTTCCCGACCTCACGATCCGGGTTGACAACATCCAACAGCTGGACCAGTTCATCCGGTGCCATGCTAGGCCCGATTTTGATTCCAACGGGGTTAGCAATGCCGCGGAAGAACTCGACATGCGCACCGCCGAGTTGGCGTGTGCGGTCACCGATCCAGAGGAAGTGACTGGATGTTGCGTAGTAGCCTGTTTCGGGAGATGTGCTGCTGCTGCTGCTGCTGCCTGCGTTCGCTGGGTGGCGAAGGAGTCGGGTTAGGCTCTGCTCGTATTCCAGAGAGAGACCCTCGTGACTGGTGAAGATGTCGGCTGTCTCGAAGCCGCGGTCTTTGTCGATTCCTACTGTGTGCATAAAGCGTAGGGCATCCTTTACGGCGCCTACGGTTTTGGCGTATTGCTCTTTGATCGAGGGCGTGATTACATGGCCCAGACCCCAGTCTAGTGGGGAGTGCAGGTCTGCCAGGCCTGAGGAGAGCGAGGCACGGAGGTAATTCAGAGTGGCTGCGGAGTGGAAGTAGGCTGATACTAGACGTGATGGGTCTGGTTGGCGGGATGCAGGGTCTGCTGCGAAGCCATTGATGTTGTCACCGCGGAACGAGGGCATTTCCACTCCATTGACAACCTCTGTTGGACTTGAGCGAGGCCTAGCTTTTGTGATTAGGTTTGTGGTTATGGATTAATAGATGAGGAACCTACTTTGCAAATTGGCCTGCGATCCGAGCAATACGGATGACGGGCTTATTGGCACCTATTGGTTGATTAGTTGCCAGTTTCTTTGCTTTTTGTGGGGGGTTCTGACATACCCCAGATGAGAACCAAACTCATTTGCAATAAGAGCTTCACCTTGGCTTCGATCATCTCTTGACTGCAATAGTCGAAGAGCTCCGCACAGTCACCTGGACAAAGGGGTTAGTCCTATGTTTCGGGGATATTTCCCTGTGCAACATACCACCCTGTAGAACGAATGCTTTGCCCAAAGCGACATTTCGCAGATTTTTCTTGAGATTGATGATCTGAAAAATAGGTCAATATGGTAGCTAAGATCCAGTCTAAAGAAAAGACATACTTCTTGTGTAGTCACAAGTGGAGGAAGCTTCTGTAGTTTTTGCAGTGAGACCTCCAACCCTTGAAGATCCTCATAGATGACATCTTGCTTGATGGGCTTTTGTGTCCAAGCTAGATATAGTTAGTGATACTAGATCAAACGCGAAAGAGATTTTTTTACAGATTTTTGCTCTTACAACTAGGGCTCCATTCGGCCATGGTGGGCAATTGATCCCGAAAGGTGGCGGGATGATATGAGATAAGTGTCTTCCCTTTAACCGGCAGTAACAAACAAATGAAATGAAGGATGGGTCGGAATAGGCAGTGGATAAGTGATAATTTCTTAAAAAAATGGAACAAAGCACTGATGAGCGAAAATATATCAAGGGCACATAACAAAAGAAAGCTAACCTTACGGTGTGTGTACGTGAGACGCTTATTGTCGGAACTCGGATGACTCACTTTGATGCCTGATCTTCAAGGCATCATAATTGTCTCACATTCCTGTGTGACAGGTATACGTTAGGAGGTCGGGGCTGAGAGTTCCATACAGCCTTTTTTTCAAGACTAGATGGTGTTAATTGACTGGAAATAACGGAATCCTATTCAAAAAATAGCACAGATCATAGGACCCCATTGCATTCTCACCATGTAGCAAACTCCTAACCTCTAACCTCCATTCTTCAAGTCATCAAGTGGTACCCCCGACATGTACAGTCATGGATGTGGAAGGTGTCATGGCCCAAATGACTGGTTCTCCTCTTCCTTTGGAATCTGAGCAATTTTGAAAAGCTGTGGATCCGAGGCTTATGATGCGAGTGAGTATTCCCGAACTTGACCTGTAAGATGCATCGAGTGATGAAGTTCGCTGCTTTGTAAACAGCAGGAAAGTTCTCACAGTTGACTTGATAGTCATGTTTGACAGCACTGGTAAAAAATGAATAGAGCCTCGTAGTTTAGTATCATCTGAGTGCCTTAAAATGGTGTCTCTGATAGTTCAGGCATCTCTTTGTCTGGTGAACCTTGAACCCTGCTTATGGTCTGTCTAAACTAGGCGTGCCTTTTTCTAAATACCACACACAGCCTGCATGGTTTTGTGACATCACATCTGCAGCGTATCATTGACTTAGAAAAGAGGGGGAAAGTTATAGTAGAGCTGTGTTTGTCCTACTAAAATGGGACTGGTACAAAATACAACACGATATTCTACAAATATTAATAAGCAGTTTTAAAAGCTTGGTTTTGGATAATATGAGCGGGGATTAATTACATAAGGCGAGAGACATCCTGGCTAGATTATTGGATTTTTCAAGCATCAGCACTAGCCGATAGGTGTTGACTACCTAACCCTACCTGGCACACCACACCGTACCCGCTGAGAGATTAACAGTAGGGATGTGAAACAAGCCTCAAACTAAAATTCTTAAAGCACCTTACGATAAATTTTTGGGTATAGCATAGGTGCATATGTAGACATAGTACTCTGTAGAGCCTTGGGTATTGACAAATGTAATGTCAAGGCCGTGATCTGCAGTATTTACTAGAGTCTAGACCGATAAGGGTTGGGGGGAACAAGCTTTTTATGTTTGTCGTATAATTTCCGAGTACGAAGTAAAATGCAGATTTGATGCAGATTTCCCATTTCTCACGACGGAGTACCCCAGACTTGGCATAGAAAGCCGACCCTTGAGGAGCTAAATTTGGAAAAGAGGACGGACCACGGAAACAAAAAAAAGGGGTACGATAGATCGCCTATAGAGCAAATGCTGACGGAGACGAGAAATTAATCCAAGCCATAGCGCCTGAAATGGGGAGCAGTGCAGGCAACTTTTCGCATTGAGAAGTCTAATCGGGCCAACCGAAAGGGGTCTGTCGATTGTGATTGGCCAGAGGCTCGGCACTAGCTGTAGGGTGGCCTCTTTAGGTTAGCGTTATCGGTTTATGTTTTCCTTGTTTTGTACTAGTGTGACCCTTTTGTACTAGCGTGGCCCTGAGTGGCCAGAAATGGCTCTAACGGAGGTAACAACGTGGGCCAGGTCCCTTTGAGGCCCAAGGTTGGAAGAGCCCCATGAGAGTCCCATTTAGTTTCCTCGGAAGGGTATTTAAACCTGCTGCCAGCCTTGTTTTTCCTTTTCCTACTCCGTATTCAATCCCTATACGACCTATACACCCACATTCTTTTAACCATGCAGTACAAGGTCCTTGCCACTCTTTTCCTCGCCGCCACGGCCCTGGCTGCCCCTGCGGATACTACTGCCACATCCTCAAGCACTGAGACTACCGATAGTGATGACTCCTACGATCTCGCGGATGTGCCCAGCTCCATTATGACCGTTTTGGCAACAGCCATCCCGGCCTCATGGTACAACGATATCATGGACCCCGCCTCCCGCTCCTCCATCGTCAGCGAAGCTGAGGCTGGCACCTACCCTGCTTGGTACAACGCGTTGCCTAGCAGCGTCAAGGCCTGGGCCACTTCCAACTTCGCTGACCAGATCGCTGGTGCCACGGCAACCGATAGCAGCGCCACTCAGACCGAGACTGGATCCACCACCGCTTCCAGCCAGGCCTCTTCCAATGCCGCCGAGATCACTTCGGCTTCCACCACCACCTCGAGCTCCAGCTCTGACTCCACTTCCTCCTCGGCCTCCAGCTCCGACTCCAGCTCCAGCTCTACATCGGCTTCTCCTTCTTCTTCGCAGTCTACTGGCGGTGCCCCTGCTCCTACTGGAGGTATTGCCATGGGTGTTGCTGGTGCAGCTGGTGTTTTGGCTCTGGCTCTTGCCCTGTAGAGCATTGCTGTATGATTCATTTGCCTGTCTGGCAGTTTATGATAAGCTTTCACCCCATGTGCATAGAACTCTGTGTATAATAACCATTTCATTATATATGTACTTATGAGGGCACTTAATTTCTTTATGGATATACTATAGATATATTATATGATACATTATAGCCAACATACCATCCTAAGTATTAATTGCCGATTATTACAAGGTACAAATCAGACTCTGGCTTGACGGTTTACACAGAATTCAAGAACACATCAAGCATGACTCTTACGGTCCTTATTCAATTTCAGGTATCGCTGGGGTTCTAACAATATAAGAAACCCACGGTAAATCACTCGTTTGGCTTGCAGGCTGTGTTCAATCTGAGATGTTAGCATGTCCAAGGTCAACATAGATGGTGATAATGATAAGCAAAAAAACCACACCATGGAGCCCTGGAGCCCACCAAACATTGTAACCATTTGTAATTCATTCCAAAATCGTTGAAAAGGTGCGGCCAACCGATCATATCCCTTGCGAGCTGTTCATATGTATCCAGGTTAGTATGTTCAAAATGAAAAGCAGTAGACAGTAATACAATCCGACAAACCAGACTATCAATCTCATCGTCATTAATTGGGAACCCGATCCTGGATAGTATGAAGTAGCATGAGAAGATTGTTGTAGACTTTTCTGTCGCTACTTGGACTATTCATGAGACGCCATAGCAGCATATCAAGCTTGAAATCAAGCTTGTGACAGTCCCGCATAAACTCATTTGCGAAGTAGGTGAGATGATGGTCTCGGACAGTCTGACATCCTGGAACATGTTCAAACATCTCTTGGCCGGTGGTCCTGATTCTGTCTACCTCAATTGGAAGCCGGCCTAACTGCTCGATGGTCTCTTGGCGGTTCTCTGGGGATGAACTTTGCCAGGCTAGTCTTTCCAACACGTCCAAGATTCGAGTGTGAAAGTGTCGCCATGCGTTGTGGTAGGCCTTTTCCCAGGTGGACATGTCGGTAGAGGTGGAGGAGGACATCTCGAATAGCAGTGGCTATGATAGACCTGTGCTGTAGTATATAGTTGTCAGTAAATCAATACCCCAAAAAGGCCCAAGGAGACCAAAAGATACAGTGAGGATGCAACAACCATCAGCCGAGTGATGGATGAGATGGAAGATAAAGGAGAGGATAACTCGACGCGGTGTTGGTTAGAGTGAAGCTATTTAGCCCTTTCAACTGAAACCGATTTGATCGAATATGTCGAGAGTTAACAATGGAAGAGATGAATGCGTTTGTGGGACTGGGAAAGGATCGGGGACATGACAATGGCTTAATTGTCAGATGGAAGTCAGAGCAATCTGAGCACTAATGGGATCTAAAGTGAAAGTGATTTAAGCAAACAAAGATCATTGTTCAAGGCATTTGTCTTGTTATCTATTCATCCTAGCTCTCAGATTTGGAGGTACGTCAAGACATCATGTACACCAACAAAGCAATTCAAGGGTATGGATTCTGCAGAAGATCCCCTTAGTTTATTTCTACTTTATAAATGAGCTTGGGATATAGTTATTTTTCAGTATTAACTGGAACATTACTCTGTTACTCTTTGCCGGCGTCTCAACCTCCACAGGCTAATCGTCATCTGGTAAAAACAAACCGCAGCGAGGCTTCTCCTACAGGTAGACGGTTTCTTCTTCGAGCTTCATGAAATAAATGAAACCATGTAAATTGACCCCGGGAAGAGGGCTAAGAAGACGAGAAAACTGAGCTTACAAAGCACCAGGCATAGGTATATGTAAAGAGGGATATAGAGATGAGATGGATGCGTATTCAAGTCCATATATAAAGTCAGATATAATATTGAGGAGGTTGGTATGGTCCGTTTGAGTGTGACTGGACATACTTCGGCACTTGGGGGTAATCAGCACCATCATTGGTGACTTTTGGTCGAACTATAGCCTCGAAGTACACTGGCCTAAACCCTTGGGTGTCTTCTCATCCGAGGTTCTTCCGAGGGTTCAAAAGCGGAGCCTCAGAGTGGAGATTACAAGCTGTGGAGTCAGCCCGAAAGGGATCTTAGCTGTAAATAGTTCCAGGGCATCTAGAAAATCAAGATATCAAGCCGAACATGAAGATTAAGACGTTCAAAGATATTTCTTGGCCAGCACAGGCCCGTGGACGGATCCATGAATGAATAAATAATTACGTCAGCACTTATCTAAACCTGGGGCTTATCGGTGACGTGTGTTGTCCAAACACTAACTTCAACTCCTAGCACCTTGTTGAACAAAGAAAATATGTCCGATCCTATTCCCTCCGCAACTGCTGACCCAAACATTGCCGAAAACCCCCTTTCCTCAAATGCCGAAGATCGCAAAGCCGCTGCCGCTCTCTCCTCCCTCAGCACAAATGAAATCGCAACGGAAGGTGCCTCCATCGGAGCACCGGTTAATGCAAAGCAAGAGGCTCTTGGAAGGGCCATGAGTCGACTAGAGATAACTGCTAGACAAGGCACCGACAACAGGACGACGGTCGAGGTACTGAAGACTGACGAGGTGGTGAAAAAGAAGACAGTCAAGGTTGCTCCGGCGGATGTCACACTGCTGGTATGTTTGCTGTGTCTACCTCGGTGCTCGTACCTATGCGGCTTTATTGACATGGCTGTAGGTCGACCAGTTGGATTTAAATAAGAGCAAGGCCACGGAATTGCTCAAGGCCCATGACGGGGATGCCATCAAGGCAATGAAAGCATTCATTGCCCCATCTACCCAGATGTGATGACTTGAATTATTTACTGTAAGCGTTTTATTATCTAATAAGTTGATTCGGGATGAAGCAGACGAGAACAAAAAAAAAGTCATTTCTATGTATGAAGAGTCGCTCTTGATGCTAGGGATCTGGGTGCCACGTCCGAGGAGCGTGGACACAATGATTATTATCAACAGGCCGACGAAAATCACTATTCATCTTCCTCTACCTCATCTTTCTTTCGTTCAATTCCCTTGCCCTCGTAAATACTCCATAGCATAGCCCAACCAAGCAAAGACTCAACGGCTAGTGCCCACCAGACCGCCCCAATCATGTTATTCTCGAGACCCAGGCCCAGCCCCCAGCCACCTAGGAAAGGACCCAGGGTACGAGCAGCACTGGATATACTCTGTGCTACTCCATGGACTGTGCCTAGGATAGACGGATCCGTGACACAGTTGTTCACTAGGATGATAGCAGCGGGCAAGATGAATGTCCGCGAGATGACCTGTAAGCTAACGACAAACGTGAAAGAAGACCAAACAATCCATGGTATGCGTGGAAGAATCACAATGAAGGGCATAAGCATGTATGCCATAGGGGAAAAAGGAAGGAAGGTTCGGAACGACGTGAGCGTGCCGAGCTTTGTCTGTATCCGCGGATACAAGAAGATCTGGAGTGGCAGGCCGATGAAACCAATAATAGCAGTAGCAAATCCAACTCGAGATGACGGAAGACCTAGTCCACCACCAAAATGGAAAAGACCTTGTCGGGAGTTCTCCGGGGCACGGGGTGCGGGCAAAAACACAAATGTCATAGAGTTGAAGGCGCTTGTGTGGAAGGCGAGGAGGAATTGAACCGTCAGAGTCAAGATAACGTTGCGTGTCCAGATCTGGCGGAACCCTATTTTCTTATGTGGCTGTGGATGCCCGCGAGAGCGGGCTGGACTTGATGGCGTAGACCAAGTACCGACGCTGCCGTCAGTGTAAATGGAGTCATCGTCTCTGGAGCGTGTCAATGGACGATAATGCTGGGGTCGTCGGGTCCAAGCTCTTGTGAGCCGCTTGCCCAGTTTACGACCCCAGTCCCTTCTATATCGTGCAATTTCATGGGTCTAAACGGGGGTTCTTTGTTAGTGACAGCATGAGTTTGGACAGGCAATGATCTCACCTCATCAAGCCCAAGAAATACAGCGAGAAACGATACGAATATGAAGATTGCGCTTAAAAGATTCGGCAATGCATAAGGCCAACGCTGCATCCACCAAACGCCTTCTTTGCCTCCAAGGGTAGATCCTGGTCCGAAGAATTGCGGAAAGCTGTTGACAGGATCGGCTAAAGAGCCTCCCAAGATTGGACCTATGATTACACCAATATTGTAGCACATGGGTAGAAGCAAAAACGCGCGGGATTGGTATCTAAGCAGTTAGCTCAAGGAATGTTGACACCATGTGAACATATCAACTTACTTCTTCTCAGCAATGATCTCTGCAATCAGCGTCCGCATCACTCCCACATTGCTGTTCAATACCCCTCCCAGTGTCCGAAAGACCATGGCCGATGCAAATGATCGAGAGAAGCCAAATCCCACACAAGAAAGACAAGTGCCCATCAATCCGATCAACAGCACTCTCTTGCGTCCCATCCATTCAGCATCAGCCAGACGGCCCCACCAGACAGCGGTGATAAATTGCGCGGCCGTAAAGCAACCCTGGAGCATACCCGCCTGCGCGGAGATCTTCGAATCTGGCAAAGACGGATCAAATGATTTAAGCTGATAAAACAAGTATGCCTGCAGAGAAGTCTGCGTCAACGGCTCTGACAGTCGCGCCAAGGTCAAGATCGCCAACTGGCCCTTCTTCGGCAACGAGCTCCAAGTCACTGGTTTCTCCTCGCCCTCGTCAGTCGGCCTGAGCACGCCGTCATGATCGTGATCATCATCTTCGTTGGTGGAGGAAAATCGTCGGTGATTGGTTATCAGCGGCGCGGACTCTAATCTCCTCCGATAGGAACCGCTGTCAAAAATTGCGGTGTCATCGCTCTCGAGATCGGTGTCACTTTCGGTGCTCGACAAGTCTGCATCATTACCGATCAAGTCGTAAGGTTCCGAGGCAAGATGAACATTTACTGGGTCCTCGTGGCGGTCTTGGCCATGGTTCTGAGTTTGCGGAGAAGCCCCCATCAATGGAGATCTCCCGGCTCGGGAAGCTGTCACGCGAGCGCGGCTGGGGTAGATGCCGACCGGGGTGTAGAGCACTCCCGGTTTGTGTGATCCGACCTTGGCACGGATTTGAATATGTACAGCAGTCTGTGTGACTGTTGTGACTTAGAGAGAGGAAAGTCGGAGTGGAAAAGGAGCTATGACACCATTTCCCCCACATTTGCGTGGGGCCGGTGCGATGGAGATGTTGCCGATTTAACCGCGTAATAATGGACTGTAAGATATCCTGAAAAGACCGCTAAAAATATATGATAGGGCTGTATACGGGTTGATTGTTCTTCTTCTCTATGAGGATATCAGAATTGCTGTTTTAGGAAATGTATACAGTGGATTCTTGCCGAGCGGCTCAAACACTAAATCAAATGTTAAATCAAATGGACAAATGATTTGATATCAGAAAGGATTCTCATTTAATTGTGAGAATTATCTAGTAACAAAGGCAACGGACGAAATGCTCCCTTATCGAGTTGCTCGAATGAGCCGAACACGTGGTGGTCCTGCGTGTTTTGAGTTGAGCATATCGGGCAAGCCACGCTGTGTCAGCTTCATATCGCGGAAGTCTTGAAGGCCTTGAACACACGATCGTGCTTGATACTGTAATGTCCTAGTACGGCCGATGGCTGCTTGTGTCTGGTTGTAACACTGCATCCAGGGTACCGGCAGTAGAGCTCCCCTCTGAATACTGCAGGAGACTCGGGGTCTAGCCGGGGGAGTTGGGGACCATCACGCTTGGCAAGCTGGAGGTAGGTCTTTAGACGATTGTTCGGGACAGGTGGTTGAATGTTTAGTGAATTTTTATTCACTCGAGTGCCCCTTTTCACATTCTTCTTCCTCTTCCGTTGTTGTCCATCGGGGTTGTTCTTACAGAGCTTGTGATGCCTATTACGGGTATCTGTGAAGACTATCCCGCAACACACGCATTTAAACTTAGGTAGGGTAAACCCATCTAGGAGTGCCTCGGTGTAATCGTTGAAATGGAGGATCTCCAACCTCGCTCTCGAGGAAAACTTCTTTCCGCATACCTCACATATGCTAGAGAACTGGTGCTCCCAATCGGGATGGGAGTTATGATGGTACCCAATATCGGGAAGCTAGTAGTTTATCGTATATGGAAACGAACGCGCACTATGGAGCGTGGTGGGACGACAATGTGTTTGCGTAAACCGCACGCTGAGCTGCATGATGGGGCTTATCGTGTGTGGAAATGGGGACCTCCAACCCCATACATGACGGGATCTTGACCGTCTTTGCGTCAAAGTTGAGGCGGAAGCCTTCGTGACCCATGACATCCATCCCGATGAGAAGCTTCGCCTATAGGTTCTCCACCAAGTGTGCTTCAATGCGAATATACGCCATGTTGTCTGCTCTGCGAAAGAAAGCGTCAAATGACACCTTAAAAGACAGATATCTGTTTGCTCTCTCTCTCTATACGTCGGTCGATTTCTGTCACAAGAGTGAAAAAAAAAAGAAATCGATGCGCCGGCCGGGGTTCGAACCCGGGCCGCTGCTTTGTTCAGGTACATTTCCTATATAGGAAGCTGGGAAAGCAGAGTGTTAACCACTACACTACCGGCGCTTACATTCAGTATTAATGAAACGAATATATCGGAGTCATGTTCACCTGGTTTTGTCCAAAAGATCAAGCTATACATCCGCGGTACACTACATGTGTCTATCAGGGTCTGGTGGAGAGTTACGTGACCCGTCATGTTGGCTGGATGCCCCATTCTCCCGACGAAACAAGTTTCATTCAAGAACAAACCAACTCGACCCTGATTGCTCCACCCCAGTCCAGGATCCCTCAGGCTGGCTTTGTTGCTAGTTCTCATGCTGAAGAGGTTACTGCGGAAAAGAAAACCGGACTGAGCTGAGCAACAAAGCAGTTGAGCGACTGCGGAGGACAACGCAACAGTACGAAGAGCAGGTTTTGATGTTGTGGAAGCTCTCCGGCACCGGCTGAACCTAGCTGAGGATTTGTTGAAGGAGAATCTAGCTACTACAGATATCATGAAGACGTGGAGTCCACTTCCGCCCCGAACTCGGATTCCCGATTACATTCACACGGGCGAGGAAAGTGAGGCCTCTTCCGGGAAAGAGTGAGCCAAGGTATCCCAGCATTAACCAAGATCCTATCATGTACGTTAGTCTGAATTTCGTTTCCTGGCCTAGCGGAAATTGCCCAGCGGAACCTTATGCCGGGATTGTTCTGGGTCACTAGCTGACCTGGCCCCAGGCGGACATGGGGGGTAGAACTGGGGTACTTCTACCCCGGTCTATTTCCTCCCCCTTCATTAGTTTTAGTTCTGAATCATATTCATATTATCACAATAGTCAATTTCACTACGTATGGTTGATGGCTCAATTACTCTAGATCGAGTTGCGACCCATTGAGAAGCATAAAGCATAAAAGCGTTGTCTCCTAAAATGTACAAAAAGTAAACAATAATTCCAAAGCAAGAACATTATGATATCAACAACGCGATCGTGTATGTTGCTTTTGATACAATTAAACATCACATTGTTTCTCAAGCGTGTTGATTGAGCCTTGAGTTGTCCAAGTCTCAGTTCGATGATGCTCCTTTGTGGCCCAGTTCTCGAGGGGGACAGCTTCGACACGGTGCATATCGTTCACGAACTCGTTATTGGACCTGTTGATGGGTTCAGTGCTCGAGCGTTTGGTGCCGCTGTACTTGCCAGGCGGTGTGTTCTTATTTCCTCGACGAAAAGGTGGTTTCCATGAGCGAGGGGATGCGAATGAAGGACGAGGTTGTGAGTTGTTGGAATCGCAGCCGCTACTATCATTGTTTTGGTCGCTGGGGTTTCCAGGTCGCTGGGCTCGGTTGCTGTTGTATTGGAATGCTTTGACACCAAACAATTTGCGGAGTAGTGGCCACCAGCACATGAGGTTGGCGACATAGATTGCTGTACTGGCTTCACGGATGTACCAGATTTGGTATGTGGTTGTGAGTGGGGAGGCAAAATTGAAATATTTGTTTAGGATAGCAGCGATGATCGTGAATAAGCCCAGACTCATAACGCCGATGAGGACGACCTTTCTGCGCCGTTTGAGTTGAGCTTTTATGAGGAGAGGAATCGGAATGGCGAACATGACAGCATCAGAGGAAATATTGAAGACGGCTTGGGTGATCGAGTAGTGCTGGTATGTCGCACACTGCATATTATCCACCGGCATGGCCCAGTACTGTGAGAACGGTCGGCAATAAACTGCATAGTAGGTGACCATTATGACGACAAATCCAACCGCAACGTAAATCGCAAGGATCTTGATATAGAGGTTCGATTTCAGATTCTGCGTGATTCGCCAATAGAGCATCAGCATGCATGTCTTGACGCCCCAGGTTGAGATCAACATGCATTGCTCCAGCCCAATGACAATTTTGCTTCCATAGATCCGGTCGCTGACTTGCTTTGGGTCCGCTAGCACCTGGTCGTAGTCCTTGGGGTCCATGAGATTCGTTGCGTAGCGGGCCGATATTTGAATCAGCACTAGCAGGGTGGTATAGATTGCCTTTTGAGGAGCCGGCGGGTCAGTCGAAAGAAGTGACTCGATTTCCTGATAACACTTACGAAGGTTGCTGCCATCACATAGTCGTCCACTAAACGGTTACTCGTTAGCAGAATCAGAATGATAGAGCCTAGAAGTCTTACCAAACAACCGCTTGTATGATCCATTGGCAATTATACGAGCCACACTTTGCTGCCATTAGCGTTGCTCTAATTCCGGACTTGCATTTCAAAACCTACACTCTTCCGACATAAATAACAAGCCCTATAGACCAGAAGACTATGGCTTCTGTAAAGAGCTGGTTTGGAGTGGGCGACACATTCCCCATCTTGACAGATATTGCGATCTTCGGCCTAAACCGGGCCTCAAATTGCCAGGACGCTATAGAACGAGCCTGCCATGTATGAGAAACAGCAATTTATCGAAGGGTTCTGATGAGGAGCATCAGTGACAAGTTTGAATTGTTCTCATGGCTTGTTTACCGAGCGCCCACATAAATCTATAAGTGATGTATTTGGAACAAGTTACTGCGCCGAGGAGATCGATCATTTCATCTAGTCGGTGAAAGTGGCTAAGGTCCCGGGGATGGGATTTAAAGCTATCAGCCGAGACAGGGCTGTAGCGTCATGCGTCTTGGCTCGTGAGATGTCAGTGTTGACTGATAAGCAAGGAGGAATGGGGCGCGAACGCAAGGGATTGCTTCCCTTGAACCGCCAATCCAGTCGATAACAGTCGGCTTTGGAATGTACAAAGTAGGCACAAAGTACAGAATAAGCATGGGTGAAGAAGTTCTACAATTCACATTCCTCGTTTGTGTCTTACGGGGTTTTTTTTTGTTTTTGTTTTTTTTCTTTTCTTTTCTTCCGCTGGCCAGACCAAAAGGCTGATAAAATCAGCTCGTGACACCGAGTCTTCCAAGGAATACTCAATGTTGTGCAAAAGGACGTAGCTGTACGCGATATCTCTAACAGGATGCGTTAAGCGAGACTGGTGTAACCCAGTATTACTCCGGAGTGCCATCCTTGATCGCCATCCAGTTAATATTCTTATTTTGGGCCATAAATTTTCCCATATGCACGTTGCTCATAGCTTTGTGATCTCCATGCAGCACAAACAAACTCGTTGATGGGTCATATTTCATAGTGGATACGTAGGAGACCTGCGGTGAATATTATTGGGGAGCAACTTTGATCTGCATGACAAGATTCAATAGCTCCCGGGCACAGTGATCCTTCATCAAAATAACTTGCGCGATATGCGAGATAAGTACGGAGTACGGAGTAAAGGGTCAATCGTGGACCGAAGATCATGCCTGATATAAATCTATAAATCTTCAACCTTCTGCGTTTTATCCCTAGGAAACCTTAATCCCCAATTACTTTCCACAATATCCAAGTGTGTACTCTGTACGGACTATTTGGCCATTATGGAAGCCCCAAAGCCGCCACTACCGCTAGTACATACAAATATGGGAGCCTTGCACCTAAACTCTACTCAGCTGTGCCCTGTTGTATGAATGCGACTACCCAATGCTCCATCGTATTCTAGAGAGGCGCTAGAGTGATAACGTTTACTACTCTCCGATCGGCCCATTTACCTTTCTGGTATAATGGAAAAAGGTGGCTGAGCGCTACTGGTTGTTGTTGCTCGAAAATCTCGACAAATCTAAATTTTGAACCGAAGGACCCTGTCAACAAAAGACTTAGATAAATAAATGTAAGCTTTCAGGTACATTATGAAGAGGGGTCATTTATTCGGTAGGTAAGGAAGCTCCTTCATAGAGACCTAGCCATTATTAGCAGCCGATTAATCCGCGAAAGCAAAGCTGGATAGGCCAGCTGAAATTGGGACCGCCTGAGAACCAGGCTCCTATTTTATCGATTCTGGTGATTGTCAGGCTGCGCTATCTTTGAATATGTAACATCTGTCGGTTACTACCTCTCAAAATTGAGTGGCTTTTGAGCAGATTGTGCGCTCGAGTTTTCTAACGGCGACTAGGACGCTCGATATATGATTCTAAAGAAAACAAGCTAATAATTTTCGTAGATAGCCAATTTACCCTAGCCTAGTATATAATGGCATCGAGAAGTCATCCTCGATGAATCTGGTAGAAGGACCGCTAACTGCATATGCATATACTTGGGATAGGATTGTAGCGCCTGACGAGGGAGAACAGCAATTAATAAATGGCATTCCAATTTTGACGTTTGATATACTCCACTTGTTGGATGCAATAACAACCTTGGTAAAACTGGCCACGTGAAAAGCCGCAAATGCCAAATTCCACTGGAGTAGGAGGATTGAATATGATACGTATAGCGTCTGTACCTTCATCCTAAATGGCCATGTGGTAGTTTCATAATACAAAATATACAGCGTGGCAAATCGTAAGCTTTTCAGCGTGAGAACTGTTCGAGGTTTTGAGATATCAAGTTATCAGAGGCAGGATATCTATCATACACAAGAATAGCCGACTGCTGATATAGTCTTGTCTCGTATCTAGTCATTAACGGTACATTTGGACGCTCTTCAACCATTCTTTTTCATGTCCGCCGGCAGGTTCCCTTTCCACTTTTGGCGAGACAGGCACTGATTTGAGCGAAGTCGGTCACTAATGAGGCGTGTCGCGTCAAATTTTGGAAGACCAGCTACAACTGCTTGAACCAGTTCACCAGTAAGCTTTACCCTGCAACACCGGAATATATACGAAGTACTCCGTATATTTATGTGATAAAGATCTACGGCGACCTAGAGGCTGTGGGTGGCGTCAATCTTTATTGTTATATTGGCCAGGATATCGTAAAGAAGCTACTCGAATTGGGTGCGTTCCTTTATTTGAAGGCTGTGACCCCATATAGATGCAAATAGAATGGTAGTTTCCATACTACCTCGCTCGTGTTGCTACATTGATATCTTGATATCTCTCGATGCGGTCGGGCCATATTAGATATTGTATCCCTGTTATTCGACTCTCCCCAGGAATTAAACTTTACTTATTTGGTATATTTCTCAAGAGGCTTGGGCCCATATCTCGCACCAGTCGAAAAATGCTTCTCCGAGAGAAGAAATGAGGATTTGTGCTGTTCATTCAACCAGCAAAGCACAACGGAGCATTCTCTGCCCTTTGCCTATGCTGTATTCATATGCACGGAGTATTTATAATGTAGATGATCGACCATGCGAGGCCATGTGGCTATCAAGGCATCAAGGGGTATGGCGATTGTATGCATGGCACAGACCAATTAAATGTTGCCCAGCAGACCCTACCCTTGGCAACGCCGGAATGTAGAATATATTCAGCAAGCCAACAACTAAACCGGCAAAAATATTTCAAGAGTTACCCTAACTGATGAGTGAAATTCGCCCCAAAGCTACAGAGTACTCTGTAGGTTGTATGTCGGTGATCGACGCCCTCTATGCCGCATTCGCCGCGAACCCCCTTGCTTAGCGATGTATCAACTCGGTTCGATTTGGGAAGGTCATAAGAGAGACAATTCGTATGGGTCCAATCAAAGGCAATATTGTAATACATTTAGATAATTTACTCCTTGGATGTACACGGCATTGGTCCTTTTCTAACACAAATAGTGACACTATTACCAATAACATCCCTGGCTCCATGTTTAATCCATGGTGAGTAAGAAAACATGAGCATTCCTTTGGAGAAAATGGTAGATATGTCATACTCGTATAAATGCTTGGACCTTGTGTAATACATGTGGCAGCCATGCGTGTTAATGCTCTCAAATCTTGCATTCCTGTTGCGACACGCCTGATTGTTCCTGTGCGCCCTGTATACTCTGTCAAACCTAGTGGGGTGATGTACCTCCTTTTCTCTTTCTTCATCTTGACACTGCCATGCCTCGATCCTTTTGTTGAATATTCTCTCTAACACCGAACGACGCACGGCAAAATGGTGGTGTTCTCAAGGCCAACCTCCGCGGACACTGAAAAGTCCCCCAAAGGCCATGCCGCAATGGACGAAGTACGGCTGGAATCTGCACTTGGGCATAAACAAGAACTGTCGCGGAATTTTGGATTGTGGAGTTTGACCAGCTTGGGGATTGTTATTGCAAAGTAAGACCCTTGTAAATCAGAGATTGCATTGTTCCTACTTCAATAAACTAACGGGACCAAGCTCTTGGGCTTCAACAGGAGGTACAATCGTCGCTGCGCTCCAAAATGGCGGCCCGATGGCAGTTCTATACGGACTCATTCTAGTCAGCGTCTTTTACACGACTATCTCAGCTTCCCTGGCTGAACTCGCCTCCTCTATGCCTTCTGCCGGTGGAGTATACTATTGGTCATCGGTATTAAGCCGGAGTCGAGGTCGCACGGCGGGGTTCTTCACTGGGTATCTAAATGCTTGCGCATGGCTACTATCAGCGTCATCGATGAGCTCAATGTTAGGGAATGAGGGCGTTGCAATGTATCTGCTAAAATATCCGACTGTGAAGTGGCAGTCATGGCAAGTATTCATTGTGTTCCAAATTGTCAATTGGACGTGTTGTGCCATTGTATGCTTCGGAAATCGCTTCATTCCCCTCCTCAACCGCATTGCCCTTACTCTGTCAATGTGTGGTCTCATTACTACTGTGGTGGTTCTCACAGTGATGCCGAAACAGCATGCGAGCAGCGCTCAGGTATGGACTGAGTACCACAACAACACGGGCGGATGGTCAGACGGAGTTTGTTTTATGACAGGTCTGTTGAATGCTGCATTTGCAGTTGGAGTTCCAGACTGTATTAGTCATTTATCAGAAGAAGGTACGTTGGAAACAGGAGAAACAGGATGCCGCCAACTAACAACATATTCTAGTCCCCAAACCCGAGATCAAGGTCCCGCAAGGCATAATGTTGCAGATGCTCACGGCCTTTGTCACATCCTTTGTGTACCTGATCGCCCTCTTTTACTCTATCCAAGATCTGGACGCCGTCTTTACAAGTAATATCGGCTTTTTCCCAACCGCCGAGATCTACCGGCAAGCGACGGGGTCTAACGCAGGCGCCATCGGTCTGATTGCGGTTTTGTTTCTCGCAACCTTCCCAACTCTGATCGGAACCTTCGTGACAGGCGGTCGAATGTGGTGGAGTCTAGCACGCGACAATGCAACGCCCTTTTCGAACTATTTCGCTCAAGTACACCCGACACTGAACTGCCCTGTTCGTGCCACAGTGGCTATGAGCGCGCTCGTCACTTGTCTGGGGTGTATATATATCGGCAGCACGACGGCATTCCAAGCGCTGATCTCGTCGTTCATTGTACTAAGCTCGCTGTCCTACTTCGGAGCCATCTTTCCGCATGTTTTGTCTGGTCGTGGGAACATGGTCCCCGGACCATTTTATATGGGACAGAAACTTGGGATGGCAGTTAATATTGTTTCTTTGTTGTATATTTTGGTTACTGTTATTTTCTTCTGTTTCCCCTTGGTGTTGCCGGCCACAGTTCAGAATATGAACTATACCAGTGTGATCGTTGTTGGTTTGATGGTTCTCACTGCCTTCTGGTGGGTGTTCCGTGGCAGAGACCAATACCATGGCCCGCAGTATAGCTTCGAGGCTGCTGAGCGGTTGGCTACTTTCCAAGAGGGCAAGGAGGGTCGTCGATCTTTTATTGATCTTGTGGTATCGCCTGTTGGTATTGAGCATGGGAATGTTTCATGATGAACAGGAAACAGCCCCCCAAAACAATGAAAATGGGCGCGAATTGTGACTATTGTTGCTTGTTGATGACATATAACCTTCTTAAAGCATGTGTATCTATATCTTGAACTAACTTTGGATGAATATAATAAGGATTTGTGTACTGAACTACCATGGCTGCCAAACAAGTCGAGGCTAGAGATCAAACATGGCCGCACGATTAGCGAACCTTCAATTTGGAATTGGGAATAGGCATCTTAAAGTCATAACTATCATGCATAGAGATCACTAGTAGGAGACAAGATATCCTCTCATCTTCATAGTCGCGACTTAATGCTCTGTCCACCTTCCCAGGCCTCTCCTGCTTCAAGTGTTTGCCAACCAGATACTGAGCCAGCCTCCACACAGATCATGTTCTTGTAAGCCTCGTCTGGGCCGAAATCGGCCATGCCCTTGGCCTTCTCAATCCAAGGGTTCCAAACCACAACATCAGTCAAACCTTCCCGAGTGATCGAGAACAAAGATTGGTCATCCTTAGCAGAGGCAACGACGATTGGAACGGCGGGATCAAGTTGTTGGTAAATGCGATCAGTTTCTTGGGTGATCGCCAATGCGGGGGAGGATTCGGTGTGAGAAGTCGCTTGGAGGGTTTTATCGATGTAGGTCTTGGATTCGAGGCCTTTAACACGGATGTCGGAGATATCCTATTCATCAAATTCCAAATTAGCGGGGAATCGGGAAAAAGAACCCTGGGGAGTCTGATCATACCGCAATGCTCAGATAGGTGTGCATCAGCACCTGGAAATCAAAGTTTTGCTGGCCCTCATTGCGAACCTGCAGAGCGGTCTCCAGTGAGTTCGTGGTGAGCGTGACACTGTATACCAAGCCGAACTCGTATGGCCATGCGGCGCGGAACTCATCGGTCAGCATAGAGTGCGACAGGCCGAAATCCAACTTCACGGTAAGATCGGTTTGGTCGCCATCCCTTCCGGGCGCTTCCGACGAGGACTTGCCCAAGAACTCCCAGTTGGAGTTGCGAGCGAAGCCATGTTGTGGTAGGGTTGAGGTGGCGTGGTTTTGGGGCGGGGGACCGAAGACCTGGAGAATAAGCAGAGCGGTTAGCTAGTAGCTCAAGCAGAGACATCCTAACGTTCACATACTGGGAACACCAGCGGAATACCACCACGGATAGGCTTGGAACCATCCAGATGAGACTTCTCACTGATGAACAGTTGCTCCTGGCCGCCTGTCTTCCACGAGGTCACAGTGGCACCATACAGGTGCACAGTGACTGACTGGCCAGTGGGCAACGAGGCTTCGATGATGTTGTCCTTAATGGAGAGGGTGGGCTGGGGAAGAGAAGCTCCCACCCCAATTGCCGAGGGTTTGTTTGATCGGTCCATGGTGTAAGAAAATGGAGAAAATCGAATTGGGTGATGAAAGGTGAAAGGAAGAAGGGAGCTTGATGTTTCACATTGAAGCGCGGGGGGATCTTATCGGGCCCCCACCTGTTTTGTTTGGACGGGCCACAGGGCTCCAGGGGTCCGGCACTTGATGTATGACCCAACACCTCAACACAGCGAATCATCACACCAGCACTGTCCAACCCTAGAAGCCGATTTTGAAATGGAGGAATACAATTATTCAACTAGGCCAGTTCCTGGGCCCTCAGACAGTTGGAACCCAATCTATGCGTTTACTATTGATCAATCAATTATCACCTAGCACTCACTTGAGGCCATACATAGTGCGACCCGGTAGCTCTGGCGGCCGTGGGAAGAATTTGGCACCTCAAACCGCCCCAAAAAAACCCTTCGATTGATATATCGCGTCCCAGAACCGACTCATCCCTGATGTTTCCTCCGCAAACGATGACTCAGGAACAAATGGCCAAGTGGCTCCATTTTCAGCAAAACCAACTCGCTCTGTTCCAAATACAACACGGTCAGGACCTTTGCTGCCTCCGGTTGCAGCTTTCTGAAGTTATCTATATCATGAATAGTGGTTTCGTTCCATATACGATAAACCACTAGCTTCCCGAGGTTGAGCACCATTGGAACTCCCATATCAGAAGGCGTGCAAGAAAACCCCGATGGACAATAACGGGAGAGGAAAAAGAATGCGAAAAGGGGCACTCGAGTGAATAAGAATTCACTAAGCATTCAACCACCTGTCCCGAACAATCGTCTAAAAACCTACCTCCAGCTTGCCGAGCGTGATGCTTCCCGACTCCCCCACCTAGACCCCGAGTCTCCTGCAGTATTCAGAGGGGAGCTCTACTGCCGGTACCCTGGATGCAGTGTCACAACTAGACACAAACAACTGTCGGCCTTGCGAGCTCATTATAAGATCAAGTATGATCTTGAATTTGAGGCATTCAAGACCTCCATCGGATCAGTTGGACGGGAACAACACGAAGCCTGTAAGTCCTAGTTGGCTCAGTATGCCCAACTAGGCCAGGAGAATCTCGGACCAGCTCCCCAAGACCAACAATCTGGTATCAAACCAGCTATATCAATGGCCAGGTCTCTGGTCAGAGCTCCTTCCGGTCAATTTATTCACTCACCAGTCGGGTTTACCATGCTGTGGAGGTGAGTCGGCTTTTCATTCTTTTCCCAATGCACATTAGTATATATGAATACACCATGCATCACTCATTCTGCCTCCTGCTCCATATCGTAGTTTAATATCACCTGTTGTTACATGTGCTCATGCAGTATTGCCTGGGCCCACTGCTCATTGGTGGGTGAATTCCGGCTCTCAGCTGTAGCCAATATCCTAGGACAGTAACTGGTCTTCAGCTGAGCTCAACCCATAAGAAGAGAAATTATAAGTCTTAGGTATCCTATAACCCTATAAGAGAAAAAGTACAGTAAAATCACATCATAACCCGCTCATCTCCACCTTAAATCGACGAAAAAAGATATATACAGTTATAGCTTCGGCACTGCCGTCGAATGTCCAGTATCCATCCTGTCGGAACCTTTGTGGCCCGGAATTGACTCTGACATGCCAGATTCAAAGTCCTGTTCTTTGGGTTGATTGGGGATAGTCAACTCGGTACCCTCGGCCCTCCGATGAGGCGGAATAAAGATATCGTAATATCGCGGAAACACCACACCGAGCAGAATCAGGAGCAAACAAAAGTGCGCTAAAATAAACCCGGCGATCATCATGGGGTCGTATCGCAGAGTATAGAATTCGGGATACGCGAAGCTGAACACAATGGCCAGAATAGGCGCGCTGACGTATCGAAGTAGAATGGGCCAGAAACGAGGGATGTTCCAGTTTCCATTACCACCAATGACACCGTTCAGGTCGCGTCTTAATTGATTACCCTGCGCATGTTAGTTTCTTTTGGTGCAAGACTTGGTGGCAGCAGGGACATACCGAGTAGAAAGCTAGATACCAAAATCGACCGAGAAGAGGATTCCGCCCCCAGAAGCTGGCTGCTTTGATATCTGGGGTCATGGCGATGAGGACTGAAATAATCGAGCAAACGATATACAACCCGAACCCGGCACCGGCGCCAGCTGCCGGGTTCGAGACACCGTGTGCGACGGCAACTCCGACAATCTGGCCACCAAAGTATCCGAAATTATACACAACGAAAGCAGACAGCCCTGTCTGGCTAACTACATCGTGCCAGCGATAAACCGTGGTTGCACCGACGAGCTCCGACCACACCACAAAGATCAAGGCCACATTGTTAATCCATCGGTCGATTCCATCCAGCAGGTAGAATCCGAATTGGGTGCAGTACGGCAGACACATAAGGAATGAAATTATTGTGAGGCCAGTCACAATCATCGGTCGTGACATTTTCACACCCGAATCCACGGCTAACGTAGCTACCGCATCGAGCATCACAAAGGCCGAACTAAACCCGAGAACCACCAGGGTAAAGAATAGAAGGATTGCCCACCAATTCGCACCAGGCATGTGAAGCACAGCTTCGGGGAGCGTCAGGAAACCCACCACGAATGCACCCAATCTCTCGCCATCCTGCGGCCAACGTCGGAGGTAGCCTACAACACCAAACACGGCAAAGGCAGCAACGTTCTCGAACAGAACATTACTTCCGCAGATGAGAATTGCGTCCATGACAGCATTGGAGTGTTTGGAATTATAAGAAGCATAGGAAGTGAAATATCCGAAACCGATGCCAGTGGAAAAGAAGACCTGTCCGACAGCGGTTTGCCAGACAGTTCCAGAGGCGAGTTGGTCGCTTCTCCATGTCGCCCATAAGAGTCGGATACCCTCACCCGCATTCTCCAGTGAACAAGAGCGACCAACGATAATAATGGTGGTGACAATCGGCAGACCCATTGTCCAGTAGACGACGCGACCCGTCAGGCCCACTCCACGGAAGATAGAAATCCATATGAGAAACCAGATAAAGGCGCTCCAGCCGACCGTCTCACCAATAAGGGCAACACCAGGGTACACGGTATAGCGGGCAACGGCACTATTGCCAGCAGTGAGATTGCCCACGACTGGATCGACATTGGCGACGACATCTCCCATGTAGAATTCCTCGATCCTGCCCTCCCATGGTAGTGGGCTCCGGAAGGAGTTGCGGAAATAGTTCATGATCCATGCCAAGTTGACCGTGAAGTATTGTACGACGACAAAACTGATCAAAATCGGGCCCATGCCAACGCCTTTCAGCCGACGGTTGATATTATTGAACGCGATCACCGTTCCACCACGATAGGCTTGTCCAATCGCAATCTCGAGAATAAGAGCCGGAATGGCGATGATGAACACGGCCAACAGGTAAGGAATAAACCATTGTAGTCCGTGGTTATTGTAGACCACCGAGGGGTATCGCAGCAGATTTCCCTGACCAGCGCAGCCTCCCATGGCGGCCAGCAGGAAGGCTGCTCGAGAGGGCCATTGGTCACGTCCATCTTCCGATTTTTTCGGAGGAGGAGCGATCCAGGCCACTACCTTCTTCAGATATTGGGCAAGTACCATGGTGGTACCGATTAAATGGGGAAGATTTTCAAGAAATTGAACTTCATGGGACGAGAACGACGCGATTTCGAGATATGAGAGATCAAAGAAAAGGGTAACAGCAACGAAGTCGCGCAGAAACCTTCGTAGCAGATGAGAGAGGCTTTCGCATGGCTTCCGGCTGATGCCAAGGGCTTGCCAACCATCTAATCCTGCTGCTACCGTCACCTCGGACCCATGCCCAGGTGCCAAGAGGATCGGAGAGGCATTCTCAGCCTGGATCTTTATATTCGCGGGTGGTACAATGGGGGAGCCACGCCAAGAGTCTTGGAAGCATCCGAGTGCGGTTATGGTGTGGCATGTCGCAGTATTGTTGGCGGGATTACTATTACAGGCAAAAGTTAACCAGCTTGGCTCGCCCAAGTGAGGTAACATCTAAGTACCTCACGGTCACGAAGAGCGGATGTAGGGCTCGGAGTATGGCCGAATGAGCTGAGATGTCTAGGAAACCGTCGAAATCCCGGCAGTTGCCAAGGGCACGACGCTTGGCATGGAGTTGCGCAATTGCATGGCGCTGATTGCGACATGTACTATCACGGTTCAAGATAGTTATAGTTGTTTAACTAGCTAGGACGCGATTAGAGTCACGTTCTGCCCTTTCATTCTTGACTTGCAGCTCAACGGTCTTCGATCTAGACATCACGAAAACTCACCATCGGGAGGAGAGCTGATGCCCGGACTTCTTGAACATATTAAACAAGTCGAAAGAGGAAATTGAAGCTTTCGGCGTTTTCTAAAATATTTGGCCTAACAATATCCTTTAGAATGAAGAGCTGGCGGTGTATGACAGCCAGAGGTCGGATGTGGTTTGTAATGGTATTGGTGCCTGAAGGTGCCTTATTTTACCTAGTTAAATGAAAGCTGGCAGAAAATAAAGATACACACGCGGGTGGGCTGGTAGATTCTGAATAGAATTGCCATAACAGAGCCCTCAGTAAATAAAGTACTTGAATTCTTTCGAGATCAACAAAATCAACACCTTAAAAAATGGGCAGTAAATGTAGCGTTAGTTATTTGCACCCATACAAATCCCATGATTCCCTTATTTCTAGGCGTTGAAGCCTTCCCACTCCATCTCTCTTCTCTTCCACTACCCAATCTCGTACGATTGCTCTAGCCGCGGTTCGAAACTACCCTCGAGCTGAACAGCTTCATGATCGTCAGATAAGGGGATATAATCGGGAGGGGGGGGGGGAAGGGGGGCAGTGGGAGAGGTGGCGCTTTAGCGGCTAGAAATAGGCGATGGGCGATGGGCGATGGGCGATTTTGGATATTTGTGGTGGTGGGAATAGCTTCAATATTACCGGGGAGCTGGAGTTTCATTTACAATACACTGTATAGAGCGGTGTAACTAAGGCATCTTCAGGCACTAATACCATTACAAAACCACATCTGACCCCTGGCCGTTATGGATACGCCTACGTACTCCGTATTATGCGTTTGATAAGAGAAACGGTCTTTCTGCTTGTATTCCAATACTGGTTGAATACCTAGGTAGTATTGCATGATGACGAAGTGTTTCTAGGGGGAAATAAAACCAGGAGGTCATCATCTACGGCCTGACCGTGTCTAAGTAGATACCCCGGTAGATTCGGGCCAAAGAACGGAGTAACAGAAAACCATTTTCAAAATCCCGATAAATTGATCTTAAAATCGAGACCTTAGTTTCGTTTAAGGTTACATTGCAGGCAGCAATAAGCACTATATCACGTATACCCCTCAGCACACAATACTCTACGTCCGATGACGATACGATATGAGAGTTGCTTATGATGTGGACGAATTTAGTTAACTACGTGAAATTGCTTTGGCTTCGACTTTTAAGACCAGATAAATCTGTGTTATGTAAATCTATACCTTTTGTGTCATGTCAACACTATATATATGTCGGAACCTCGTCTATCTGGCGTAATGCTTGTTGAAAATTCAATTTAATTCGTCATAATTAACATGCATCTGGAATTCAACGATAAACCATAATCGATTTCATGCATACATTGCTTCTTTCGCAAAACAGTTCTTGCATGCCAAGAATTCAGGATTCCTATGGAATTGAGGCTACCATCTTTGATGCAGTATCTACGCCTCTATCACCTATGCCGCCATATAAAAACAAAGATCCTGAAACCACGACATGGCACTGCACTTTGAACTGTCTCCATGCATCGCTGCCTTCATTAATCCCTGTACGAACCACGGAGTTTCGGAGCAACAAGCGCTTAGGAAATGACACCTCTCATTACCTACAATTCTCATCACAAAAAGCAAGTTCCATGGAATAGAATAGAAGATTCGACAGAAGAAAAAGAAAGGCATAAACATGGCTTCATCTCCATGCATGGGGAGATTAAACAAATTTACAATTTACGTTCTACCCCTTCTTTTGTGAAAGGTTCAAATTCGTTATTTCATGCTGTCTAGTATATTATTCTGTAGTACGGAGTATATTATTCAACAATGCTCAGGTATAGTAGCTTTTTCGCCTAATTTGTAACTCACCAGTTCAGGGGCGGGTTGTAACATTTTGGTCCATTGGCGTTACTGAAAATACAGGTTTTAAAGCGAAGTTAAATTTGAGTCCAATCATACATATGGAATCCATCTGCTAAACCTATCATTGACCCAGGTACACCATCCATATCCTCGCTGTTGTTACTACCACCAGGACCTATGGCTACATTCAGGTCCACGCCTTCTCGCACTAACAACCGTATCACTGCCTCGGACTCGGCATAGGCTGCGGCATGTAAGGGGCTCCTGCCCTCATTATCACAAGCTTCTGGGTCCGCACCTCCGGCAAGTAACTCTCCAACAATATCGATATGCGCACCACATGCTGCATAGTATAGCGCTGTGCGCCCCAAGTTGTCCCTTCTATCCACATTGACCCCATATTGTAGTAACAAGCGGACGATACCTAGATTGCCGCGCTCCACACTGATGTGTAATGCTGTTTTCCCTTTATTTGCGGTATGGTTGGAATACTGCGGAGACTCCCAAGGCTTCATATTCTGTCCATGGATAGATTTAGCCTCTGCTTGGGGTGTCTCCTGATTCTTGGAAGCTCTGGAGGGAGTAGATGAAGAACCAATTCCGGGATCAGAGTCCAATCCAATAGCGGTCGGCATTTCTTCCATCGCGGCATCAAATATATTGATGTTCTTCATCCCAGAAACCGACGTGGCAATACCGGGACTTTCGTTCTGCCCTGTCAACTTCTCGGGGTGAATGGCATCAGAAGGCCCACGATTCATGGCCTCAGCCTGCAGCGTTTCTGAGTCAAAACAGGCAAGATTTGGCGTATTCCCATTGAACTGGGAGCCTCCCGGTTTATTTCGTGTGTTATCAAGGTTGCTCATATGGAATTCATGACATTCACTATTATTGGGAGCACAGGTATTGCCATCTTTTTGCTGCTGAATTCCCCTGGTTTGGTTCTCCAGATCCTTTAGTCGCTGTTGCTCAATGTCTGCTTGTCGTTTGCCTAAGTACACTAATCATTAGGAAAGTTGAGATCATACGGATGGCAATATAGTGATCTTGATAGCTTACGACGGTTCCTCTGAGCAATGCGGTTCTGAAGTCTTCTTCTCTGCAAGGCTTCAATGGCAGCCTCTGCATCTGGCTGAGCATCCATTCTTTGGCAATAAATATGCAACGATATTCAAGAGCTGACTCCTATCGTGTTATCAATAGATCGAGTAGATAAAGTTTAAAGAACAGATCAAATGGAAGGAAGGGGCGGAATAAGATTCAAGAAAAAATGCGCTTATCAACACTTGTCTAAGCCTAATGCTTTTTGGAGACTAGGCTCTCTAGCTATGGCCCCCGGTTTACATGGAGTATGTATTCGACAAATTTGTGACCCTTGAATGATGCAGCACCAAGGATGGCTCAGGGTTAACATTGATCAATCTACTAGGTCACAGCAGACTGCCAAGCCTCACATGAATGCTTGTAGATTTTATAGGGTACAAAAGCACTGTAGACATTAACTAGTGCGCGGGACTACCCCGCCCGGACAGCCCGATAATGCATGTACTAGTTATAACGAGATAATTCAGACACGAGAAAATTATCATTATAGCCGGGTAATCGTTACATCAAGGTTAATATATATTTCCATGTTACATACAAATTCAGCCCCCAACAGCTCCTAATATCGCTATACTTCTGCCCTTTTACTTTTCTTACTTCAATTAGCCTCTTATATATACCAAGCGTACTAATTAACTGCTCTCGTAGAGCCACTTTCTAGGGCTCCTTTCTAGGAGGTTAGGATAAATCGGCGAGGGATCACATGACTGATAAAATATTTTGTTGTTTAGAAAGGCTTGAAAATGACGTGTATATCCCTGGATATAACGATTTTTTGCGTGGGAGATAGGGTACCTAGCAAAACCGATGCCCATAATTAGGAGTGATCCATTCCCGGTATGTAGCCTCCCTAGGTCAAAATTCTGTCAATTTGGCTCCGCCAAGAACATGCTGATCGTTGCTAATGCGGTGTATTGCATATACCATTTACACCATCTATACCAAGTAAGTAACTAAGTTGTTTTAAAAGTAGGAATTACAGTATTCGGAAGAAACAAAACATTAAAATTACTAGTGTAGAAGGATCGGCAGGGTCTACATACGTTCACAGGATTTCGAACAGCTTCGTCTGTACTTAATTAGCTCGGTGCATTAGCGTAGGTCTCGCGTTCGAAGGCTTAAAATACCTTATTGGTGCCTTATTGTAAATAGGTAGAAATTAAAATACCGGAATTACAATGACAGGTGTCCTATTAAGCAATTGGGTGGTTTCCAAACAAAGTCAAAACAGGAAGATAACGTATTTCACTACAGTGATTCACCGCAAAACACATGGTAAATGCGACAATTTATTTTCTACATTTATATTTCAATAACCATGTTTTTATTTTTATTTGTCCATAGCCATAGATAAGACTTATGTACCTAGGTAAATTGCGTTGTGTATCAATTTCAAAGTACGGAGTAGAAAGCTATACATAACTACCCATGTATCATTTAACGTTTCAAGAATACCGATAACTCAGTTGTAAAAAACCAAAATATAACTATATCTAAACCACCAAGTTCCATATATTCTCAAGACTCCGCAAAGAGACAATGGATCACCTAGAAAACATTAAACTATAGCTAAGTATATCTCTTTATAGCCTACCGTTGCTGAAGTATCAATTTATAATTTGCCTACGCAGCGGGATAAAGCTCAGGGTTCACCACCCTGTAGGAAGGAGCTGATCCTTGAATGCCTTACGGATGTCTTATTTTAGAACGGCAGGAAAACAAGACATCCATGCATCGGTCCCTTCCTAAAGGGAGGTTGAACCCCGAGCCTTATCCCGCTGCTATTCACTAGCTCCCATTCGTCCGAAGTTTCCATCTAAATTGCCGCGCGAGAACAGCGCTGATGCATGCACGCCACCGGTAATAAATATTGTGTTCTTTCATACCCACACAACTAATTCTGGATATAGAAATGCCCGAAATAATAACCGCCGGGTTATTAGCATTACTAGTAGGCTACCTCCAGACGGGCTATATGCGTACACATTGGTGTAGTTCTCGCCCGTGCTGTCGTGGCATGGTATATTTAAAAGTTTGGAATAGTATACTCTTGGCCCTCTTCATCCATGCATTAGTATTTTGCTGAGTTTAGGTGGCATAGCCCAATTATGCTGTTACTTACTCCTAGTTTCTAATAACCGCAACGTAACATTCCGCTAAATTTTATTGGATTATCACAAGATACACGAAATTCGCGATCTCTAGATCGGAAGCCTACATGCTCCACAATCAATGAGAAATCTCGAGTTTACTATGGAAATCCTTACAAGAGATTGTGATGATGTACTCTTTGATTCTATTGAGCTGTGTTCAAAGCTTATCGTAATTGACATCATATGCTCTCTGGGTAGAGACGAGCAATATCTTCGGGCACACAGCCCATAGGGCAAATACTGTTCTCCCGCTCCCAGTTCCAGAGCTTGTCGAAGTTTTTACACCGACGCGGCGCGTCAATTGTTTTCCACTTTCCCAGCCCGGAGCCAGAAGCTGAGTTATTAACGTCTTTCTGGAACAAAACCGGTGTAACATCGGCCATGCACTTTATCATGTTCATTAGCATGACGTTACAATGGCGGGAGTGAATCTTCATGAAGTCTTCCGTCATATTCCGTATTGTGCGAAAGTCCCACTCATCTCGATGCGCAAAGAGCCACAGGACACCAACACAGTGGACCTGATGCATAACTGCTATAAATTTAGCCTCATATCTAGAAAAGCCTGAAACATAGCTGGTAAATGGGTAGCAACATGCCTTCGGACATGGCGATGACTTCGTTGTCTCGCGGAGGAGGCAGACTCCACCATTCATGTGTTTCGGTTGACTTATTGATCAAGCCTAGTTTATCGAATGGAAAACTAAATCGCCCAGCTATGCTCAAACTTCGGTTAGATTTTTGTTCCAAAACACGTGACATTGAGGGCATACTTTTCCAAAGATTGTCCCAAGCATCCCTACGATACTGGGTGGGTACTCCAATAAAGTCATGAGAAACTAAATCCGAGTTGTATTGCCTCGATTCATATTCCAAGAAATCTGCCTCGGGGCCTGGTATAATTAGCTGGAATTTGCTAGCATTGAGGACGAGAGAGGCTCTTACTGAAGGCCCACATTCGCTGTTGACACAATGCATCCGTTGCCGCGAAGTAATACTGAATCGTATAAAACAGTAAACTGAGTATGAAAGCAGAAAGGCTTAGAAGAAGGACCGTGGAGGGGTGGACAGAAAAGCTCGCAAGCTTGCTGCTCTTTTGTGTTTCCGTTTGCCCATCTTCCAATTTCTCCTCTAGAAGTGGGAATCCTGCTTCTTTTTGTTCTTGTTCTTCTTCGGCTATATCTGCTTGATCCACATTGCTATTTGTAGCTTGATCATCCGTGTGACGTAGTCTTTCGTAGCCAGACATTCTGAGCGAGTTGGCAATGCAGCAAGAGAGGCCAGTTAACTTAGATCAACACAGAAATCATAATAAATATTCAAACAAAAGCAAAGGAGTATCTAGAGTCAGTAAATTCCGGATAAAAATTAGTGGCAGAGCCAAAGTTCCCATCTTCGGGACTCTGTCAGCTGAACCTTCGAGCCTAGTGGGTCGGACATGCATGGTAAGCATCGAAATTCTTAGGATGTCAGCACACATGTATGCGAATTTTCCTCAATTCAAACGTATCCCTCCGCACTGAAGTACTTTGCCGGAATTACACCGTGATCCGGCTTTCCTGTAATCAAGGGCGACTACGCTGAACTTGGTAAGACTTCCATGTACCTTCTGGGCTACCAATACTAAATTATACCACCAGAGGCACTACCTATAACCCAAATATGGCTTATGAATACAAGAAAAGAGTCAAGGTGTCGCTTTTTTATGTTGGTTCTGTGGCCTTACTGTTCGCCACGGCCGTGGTTTTGTTGCAAGCTTTTCAGGTCGAGCCAAGCGAAGCAAGATGTGATCGTCTGACTTACCCCTGGTCTCCTGCGCTGGACGTGGTTAAGTATCACTGGGAGACTTTTGAAAATCATCAGTTTTCTATTAAAACCCCGTATTTCGGGTTCCAGGCGACGGATCAACTGGAGGATATATGGAACGAACTACTTCCCAGTACGTCGCGTTAAATACTTTAGTCTTATTTCTGTTTCCTTCTGGCGTGAATTCTGGAAATATACCAAAATTATGAGTGTTCAGGACTAAGTCTGATCTAGAGCACCCAATTGCGATACCGTCCTCCCGGATTGAAAGCCTGGGTCATATAAATTCTGCAGATGACTCAGCATGGATTCGCGATCCAAACAATAGCGAAAATTTGTTGGCACTGCCTGAATATACCGTTCAGCTTGGCTGCTTGAATTTTCTTCGTCAGCTGGGTTATAGATCTGATAAAGATTTCACATATTTGAAATCCTTCCAAGGCGATGACTCTCTCGTCTGGGCCCGAGCTGATCAGTGCATAGAGCGATTACGACACGCTATCATGGTAATAAATTCCCTTCAGTCATCCTATTGTCCATGAAATTAGCTTACCACTATGATTTTAAAGTGCTGGGGAGATGTTGGTGCCGTTACACTCTATTATAATGGCGATACAACCACCGAAGAAGGGTCGTTCAGGGACGTGTCATTTGATTTTGGAACACTGCATTACTGTCGGAATTTCGAGACCATAGACAAATGGACCAAGGATAACGGCTTAAAGGGCGTGGTCATGGATAATCTGTGGTGGGGAGGAAACAATATCGCCTAGCAGACGTTTACGCTTAAATGATAGTATACTTCAGAATCTATATCCAGCCATTATATACCTATTAGGACCCCTCTTCTCCTCCAAATTCATTCTAAATTTGCTTTCACTTATGCTATCAACAAATGACTATATCATGGCAATAAGCTTCTTAATCTTGGGTCGCCATGAGGATACCTGTCATTTAATTTTGGAACACTGTATCACCGTCGAAACTCCAAGTCTACAAGTAAGTAAACCAAAGATAACGGCATTAATGGCATGATTATATATAATCTATAGTGGAGAGGGAGTAATATCGTCTACCAGCCATTCACGTGTAAAATAAAGCTAGCATTTTCTTCCCATAGCACACTTCGAGATCTATATCCTTTAGTTGAATTGAGCCACCATATCCTTATTAAGCTTTCTCTCCTCTTCTTGATAAACTCCAAACTTGCTTTCACCCATGCTATCAACAAGTGAATGGATTATAGCAACTAGCTCCTCAGCCTCAGGTCGTCGTGAGGGACCCTGTCCCCATAAGGCTCTTGCAATAATTCGACGAGCGCTAAGAGCTTGCGGGGAGGTTTTCCCTAGGTCTGGACGAGTATCCATCCACTCACAAACCGGCAGCTCTGTTTCCTCCGCCTCCTTATACTTCCCAACCTTGACAAAGTGTTCCGCTAGCATGTGTAGAGGAACAATGTTTGACTTGTCGGGCCTTTTCTCCACTAGCATGCGGACAGTCTCCTCTGCTTGCGGGATATCTAATTCATTCTCCAAAGAATAAATCCCCTGCCATAGCGCATACCATCGCTTGTAATCAACGTCATACAATGACTGATCTTGTGAAATGGCCGCTTCTTCTTTTTCTAGCTTTCTCTTGAGCAGTTGTAAGATAAGCTGAAGCTTCGTCTGCTGATCTGCAGTACTATCAGGATCTATTCCCGCTGGATCCAAGGCTAGCTGCCCCAGTTCAGAATCTGAAAAGTTGCCTAAGAAGTTCCGGGCAATGCAGTAACTGAAGCTATCCCAGAAACGATTCACTGGGACAGGCGCTTCCCATGAAAACGCCTTGGCGGCCTCGGAAGTCGCAATTTCGCCTGTCGAGTACCGGAAATGAGGGGTGGATGTCATCCTTGAGATGAAAGTGAGAAGATATTTGAGTGATGTATTTGTTTGAAGATTTTGAATATAGAAATGACTGGATTTCCGAAAATGTTGTGTGCACAGTTTAAGGGGGGAGGTGAGAGGCTTATAAGTTTCTAAGAGAAAAAGGAACGCTATCCCTAAATTGGCTGCTGACAAGACTAAAATTTGAAACCGTGTGCTGACTGGGCACAATTCTTTTGGAGATTGGTAGGATACAAAAACTGTCTGGTGTATAATACACTAGTTTCATGCTACAGAAGACACCTACTCAAAATATGGTCTCTGTATCTACCTTCTCGCTGTAAGTAAATATGCTATTGACGAGGCTGTATATTATTTTCTAATGCCTCGTATAAAACTCTACTAGCTCGGGATATAGGAACTGACATATGATACAGTGTCTTTCAAAGTTGTCAACTAGAGCAGTGGTTCTATTCTATTCGATAGTTTTTGACAAGTAGCAGGCTGTATTATGTATTCTCCACTAGAGACTCTAGACCTACCCATGAATATCGTGTGTTGAGTAAAGTGAATAAAATTGAAAACCTAACATTTGAAGATAAATTTTTGAGTCAACCAAATATAATGTTGTAGCAGGAGAAAACTATTTACGATGTCTCTTTGTTACTGTGTTGTAGGATGTGTAAGAATTCAACGAACATGAGCATCTCATTATATGTGCAATAGGAGAAGAGCACAGAAGATCGTAGCATGTTGAATGCACAGAAATCCAAAATAGGGTATATTCCCCCGTTGATACAAAGCTTGCAGCATATAATAAACGCAGCATATTCCAATTTCAGGTTCAGTCACAACCACACATCAAGTCGTCATTCACGACACATTCCTCTCCCTGAAGGTTCGCCCATCTGAAGGAAGGTATTCTTCGGATCACGGGGTGCACCAAGCCGAATATAGAGCCGCGGAAATCTCTTCCACATCGACCTCATTGAGGTCTCGCTTGACCTTGACAGTATCCACAGCAGATCGCACAGCGTGGACAATTTCACTCCGCCTGCCAACACCGCATCGCTTTGCCACATCATTGAATTGGCCGTCTATCTTGCATTAGTAATTGTATGTATGCATTTTCAAGTTATCATCTGGGGTCGTACCAAGCGGCATAGCAAGAGCTGCGGTAGCGAAAAAAGAGATGACAACGGAAAGCTTCATGTTTGCGATGTCTCGAGGATTCGAAGTCTTAGAATACCACTGAGTTATGTTTGATATTAGCCAAAACAAAGGACCTAATGGCATATAAATAGTAGGAGGACTTAGGTAATGATAAATAGCTAACTGATAACTACCTAGGTAGTTGCCTGGGATGGCTGACAGTCATCAAGGTCAGCATACAGGAAGGTGCTTCTTTCTCATGGAATTCACAGCGGCACCTCTACAAAAAACAAAGCCCAGCTACAGATATCACTGAGCAGACATAATTCCTACAGAAAGCAAATTCGATTCAAAGACCTTAGCCGTGGCGAAGTTCTTCGTGTCATTTACTCTACACAGCCATGATATCAAGGGAATCATCATCAGATCTCTCTGAAGAATGCATCATTGAGACTGAGAAAGACAGCTTAGTTGACCATTCTCATTATAAACCAAAGAGGCGTCGCTCCTGGTCAGCCTCAAGGGCTCATGTTGTGATCCTCTATGTTATGAACATACTTTTACTGGTTGTTGCTGGTGTTCTGGTATCGCAGCTTGCTCAGAGGCCTTTCCAAGACCCCACGGTTGGAGTATATTGTAAGAATTTTACTCTATCATTGGAATTGAATTGCATTAATTTGTTTCGAACAGCACCGGCAAATGATGCGATAGAATATGTTAAAGAATTCAAATTTCGCGCCGCGCTCTTCGAGAAAACCCCGTACATGGGATTCCCCAGTGATGAGACTGACAGACTGTGGGAAGAACTATACAACTGTGAGTCAAAAGGAATTTTGTAGAATAAGAGTCTGAGAATCAACATGCTAAATTCGATCCGGTAGTTGGGATATCCAAAATATCCGAAGAAGAGGCAAAATTGCTTTCACACCCTACGCTAACAATTCCTGGAACGAATGAATACCTCGTGCAGTTAGATATATGGCATGAGCTGCATTGCCTTAACGATTTACGCATGTTGCTTTACCCAGAGCGCTTCCCAGGTATAGCAGGCGTGACAGATAAAAATGGAGTGATTGATCGGGAAAGAATTGAATTTCGGCATTGGGGTAAGTCGAGAAGATCCATTATAATCACTCTATATATTCATTAAAGCTAATCCTCATCATTATAGATCATTGCGTGGACTCTATTCGAGAGACGCTCATGTGCCATGCAGATGTTGCTCCCATTCCTTTCAGGGTCAATTTCCCGGCTAATCAGGTCATCGTGCCACGCCTTGCCACGACACATACATGCCGGAACTTCACTAAGATTCAGGAATGGGCAAAGGAACATAGAGCAGGGTATTGGAATTACAATGTTACAGCCGAGGAGGCCGAAGAGATCATCAAAACGTCGGGGTTTGACAACGCTCCGTGGGAGAACATCCAGGACCAGTACATGGCATTTCCGGGGAATACGTTCTTCAAGTATTGGAGAGAGCACCCAGATGAAGCTGAAGCAGCAAGGGGAAATGAAGCATAGGGGTCGATAATAGTTCTCCTTCGAAGATTCATTTAGAGCTTTGGCCTCACAATTTACTAAACCTGACATCTGATAATATGCATCGCCTTTAGTGGCGGCCGATAGAGCTGAGTAATTGGTTCATAGCACCTTAGTTTCCTCCCTTAGTTGCACATGACTAGACCTTGAAATAGTCCATATTCAGAACATGAATGTAATGATAATTGGCATTGGGTAGGTGTATCCAGATATATAAAGCTTAGGATTATTTCACTGAATTGTTGTCCTGATGCCTGGATTATGGCTGGGTTTAACCAACTATTTAAAGCCATGGTGTATTGTAAACCATCCAAAGTGGAATAACTATTATGCCTGATAAACCTAGAAAAATGAAGCTTTGGAGGCCATAGAAAATCCATACACCTCCATTTCTGTTGATATGTGAATTTTGTATGGGATCAAAAGCATCATTTTACTTTTCTACGTAACACACAGGATACATTGCCTAATGAGGGGTCTACAATTACAATTTAGGTATCATTGCTTTTCCTCTAGGTTATAATTAAGCATTAAGACACTAATCCAGTTGGGGGGGGGGGATGGCCCTGAGCACTAAGTTATACACCGCACTACAATCAATCAGCAAAATCAGTAACAGCATACTCGCAAATGTGTATACGGGATGACAGCTATGGTATCTTAGTGTGCTGACGATGTGCTGACACACCCCACTCTAAGACTTTTTACACCATTATTGCATCTTCTCCACTAGTAAACAGCTATGTCGAATTAGTTTCTACTACATGGACTTGGTAGTCTTGTCAAGGCTAGCGCAGTGATTACTTGTTACCGCAGTATCTCTCTCGAAGAGTCTCCAATGCAACCAAAAAGGCACCCTTGCCAATCTACGAGACCGCACGAATTAAGAACAACCATTTGTATTCATTGATCAAGTGGTATTGAACTATGGGGCTTTTTACAATCGCTCAACAGTTCACATATCTTCCTCTCAGGGGCTCTGAAAAATCACGCAAATCGAATGCTCAAGATGGCGATAGAGATGATTCGAACTATGAGTCGGGCCATTTGTCTGCTAGTGCCAAATATCACTCATACCTACCGAGTTGGGTTCTCCTCTTATGGTTGAACTTGGGATTCTTTCTGCTGTCAGCCACCATGTTCACCCTGTCTCTTCGACCACCATCCTCACTCTATGTTGGCCAAGAGCCGGGGCAACAAAGAAATCATAATCTGAAAATCATTTCCATGCCATGTAAGTTTCCTCGTTATCCGATGAATCACAATAACTTGTTACTGAATCCATGGCGGGAAAAAAGCTCCAATTCTCAACGAGCAAGACATACATATCTCTCCAAAACGTATGGATGCAACACTCCTCAACAATGAACCACCCACAATATATCGTCAGGAGCCCAGCCACGAGGTTGATGTAGCATGGGCGGCCTTGTATGATACGCGACCGATTGTTCTGACCCGCGAACAGGTCCTAGATATAGGTAAGGATCCGGGCGAAGCAGTCCAGATCCCTTCGAGTTGGGGTTTGGGAGATGACAGGTACTTTGGCCGCATCGATGCTTTCCACCAGATGCATTGCTTGGATGCACTAAGACGTGAGGCTCGCTTTGATCACTACTATGGCGCAAAATATCCTGGCGGTTTCAACACAACGACAGAAATGCATCGCCTACACCTTTCTCACTGTGTATGGCTGCTGGCTCAAAACATAATGTGCTCCGCCAACACAGATGTCTATACGCACATATGGACCGACACATTGGATCATGCATTTCCTGATTTCAATATAGAGCACAAATGCAAGAACTATGATGCTGTCTTGGCATGGCAGCAAAAGAATGCGCTAGATGAGGATAATTTCGTGGCGTTAAGGAGGCCTGAGGGGTATCCGTACCGTACCATGACACACAAGTTCAAAGAAATTCATGGCTGGTTTTTGCAACACGAAGATGAACAAGACTTTGAATCTGGCGAGATTGCCTGAATTCAAATTTGGAGAACGGAACATATGAGCCAATGTTACGGTGCTAGCCTCACATACGTGATCTCTACCTTGAAATATCGTTCTGGACTTGCTTTGTTTAGAATCTTGATGAGCTACATCTTGTCTATGGGCCCATATCAAGCCTGACACACGTCAAAATCGAATATTAAACTCTACAATATGAATTTGTAATTTGATAGTATAGACTTAAACTCGAGTCTGTAGCGCATTTTTAGTCTGGTAGTTGTTTCGGCCGAGTTATGATTTAGGTGCAAAAAGTAGATATCGCGCTCATCCGAGGCAAGCATAGCATGATCAATATAATGTGTTTTTCATGTTGAGAGCATTGAAGAGACGTTATGTGACAGCGTATTGACAGGTCAAACCCCGAAAAGGCAATTCACAATTCCACCATTTATTTACACTGTACATTCTCATCATCTGTCTACTCAGTACCTATCCATGCTGCATAAAGGAGGACCTACTACCCTGTAGACTGACTCCCTCAATCTGTTTCATCTCATCTTCCGTCAGCCGCCATCCAAGTGCCTGCATATCCTGCTCCGCTTAACCAGCATCGCGCACGCCAACCAGCGGCAGAACACCCTTATTGATAGAGTTATTCAGTGCAACAGCAGGAACAGGCACATGCCGTTCCTCGGCAATACTCTTCAAGACATTAATAGTAGGTTCCAGTATGTGCATGTGATAATTGCTGAAGCGCCGCCTGCGTTGGGGCTCATTGAAGCGTGAATATTTACCAGAAAGACGACCCTCAGCCAGCGAAGCAAACCCCTGAAAGCAGATACTCCGCTTTTTGGATTCTCGGATCATGCCGCTGACTTCAGGCAAGCGGCGGACGATTGAGTACTCGCACTGGCAGACAGAGAGCGGGATGTCGTGCTTGGCCAGCTCATCGGCCATCTTGATCATCTCTTTTGTATCGTAATTAGCCACCCCAACCGCGCGCGCCATCCCGGATTCCACACAGTCGGCCATTCCCTTGGCGATCGTGGATATTTTGCTAGGGTGGATAGGCCCGTGTACGAGATAGATGTCGACATAATCTAGGTTAAGACGGAGAAGCGAATCTTTAAGCTTAGACTTGGGCCCGCCAGCCTGCATGAGTGTATTGGTCATATCTGGTGTTGAGAGCCACTTTGTTTGTACTACGAAAGAGTTGCGAGGTATGCCCCGGAACAGGGTTCCACATATCCGCTCGCTCTCGCCGTCGCCGTATGATTGCGCTGTATCCACAAAGGTCAACCCGACAGACTTGAGCTTGGCCCACGCTGCGTGAATGCGCGGGAGGTCTCGTTTTGGGTTGTAGTTGAAGGTTGCTTTATCGCCCCATGACCATGCGCCGATACTCAGGTAGGGAACGAGTACGTCCTTTCCACCCACACCATGCAGAGCGAGGGTCCACCGGCTTGGGGTGTGGAGAGTGCATGCCCTGTGTGCCTGACATGCCGACTGCTAGGCCGGCTTGCATCATATACTGAGTGCCTGGGGTTGCCATTGTTCGGACAAGTACAGTCTAGCCAACAGTCGAGCCAATATGTACATATAATTGTGGGCGTTGAATAAACTACGCTGCAAAATTGATCGCGACTTCCTAGGTAGGACCTGGTCTGATATACCATTTAGGAAGGAGTGGCGCTCTGCGTCACCATGACATTCAAGTAAACCGTACCTGAGCAGCTTCGGGTCAAGCCCCAATTGGCCAATATGGAATCTGGGGGTTAATCTTAAAATGGTGGCAACGGCAGATGGACGAGGGGAAACGCATGGAAGTGAGTTGGTGAACAAGACTCCTATATCATCTTCATTCTGCCATGTCTGGGGTTTTAATTCTTGAAGATCATAATGTTCAATGTTTGGATCGTATTATACTCGCAGAACCCCCTGAACGCGAAAAACGTAACGTACAAGAAAAAAGATTTAGGACCAAGCATTCCAAGCAATAAAATAGGCGCTGTGCTTCAAGTTATGAAGACATGTAGGATGCATGTGGGGAATAATGATGAGACGGGGTCCAATATAAAAAAAAATCCTATCCAACAGGTTTCGCTGTAAACGCCTTTCGCTATGCTGAAGTATTGTGTCGCGTCGATGCATTTTGTGCCTCGCAACGGAGTTTGAAGAGAATATCATCCACCTCGCGGAAAGCGCTCGGGGACAAATTGGTCATTTTCATTTCACCCAAGAAGTTCTTCAAAGACTGGGTGATGGCTTGTTCGCTGGTGCCGGGCTTGGGTTCGGGGGGTAATTCTTGGGTTTGTGTACCCGTGGTGGCAACACTTGTAGTTTGCTCGACTATTTCACCGGACTGCTGTACTGCATTCATGTCGATGTCCATTTCGATGTCCACCTCGGTGTCTGGTTTTACCGCAGGCTCAATGGCTTGCTCCACTTCGGAGACTTGAGTGATAGTTGCCTCCTCGGTAGACACAAGAGGGGTGTTCTGCCCCACTTGGTCTTTTGTGATGAGGCCCTCAGGGACAATGTCCACGTCGACCTGAGGTGGCAACTGATCAGTATCGCCATGTTCCTCGGATGGAATGCTTGATGATTGAGGCTGAGACGCCTCAAATGCATGTTGCTGAGACCGCGTCTTGCGGGACCGGGTATCTCGAGGGACACTTTGGGGACTGCTATCGATGGCGATAGAGGAAGACTGGTCCTCAAGACGAATGGATTTGCGAGACCTTTTAGACGGCCGCGGTGTCTCGGTGTTTTGCGTTGATGCCTGTGTTGATTCCTGTGCAACTGAGTCTGCAGGAGGGTTATCACTATCCTTTCGTTGTGAACTGCGGGTGGATCGGCGAGTAGCAGTTGGCGACAATGATTTAGCAGGAGAAACCTGCCGAGAGATGGCATGGTGTGAGTGTGAAGAATCAGATTGCAATGACTCGGTGCTGACTGCGTCTTTAACTGTGGACAGCCGTGTAGACCGGCGCCTGTCCGTTCTCACCGATGAAGGAGAATCCTCTTGATCTCGCTTTCTCTTCTTCATGGATGGCTCACTGGGAAGTTCTGCTTGCTCTAGATTATCCCTATCCTCCATATCCACTGCTAACTCCAAGTCCTGCCCGAGCTGTGATGCGATTTGTGACTCTGTCTCTTCACTCGAGTCCATGAAACTATCCAGAAGGGTATCAGGGGGCATGTCCATGGCTTGCTGGGGTTGATCATCCACAGGCTTAGACTGAGTTTGCTTCCGTTTCTTCTTGGAGCTCGAGCTTGGTTTACTTCTGCGAGTTGGTTGTTGGACAGGTGTTTTGTCGGCGTCAACAGGTGGCACCGGAGATGGCTCTGCTGTATCTGAGTCCTTACCCAGGGCAGATCGAAGTCGCCGACTGGGAGTAACTCCGTTTGCTCGAGGTGTAGTGTCGGCGTTTTCATTATCATAGTCATGGGCATCACTCATAGGTGTGTCTATGTTCTCTGTCGCAAGGCGGGAAGTAGCGGGGCTGTTGACTGTTGACTGTTTGCTGGATGTAGCAACGAGAGCCTTTCTTGCTTTCGCCGCCCTTCGCCGCGCGCTTTTCGAGCGACTCTTGCGAGGGCTTGGACTCCGAGATTGCATCTCGGGAGGAGATGATGGAGGGTCTCCACCCAAATCCGCAGGCAGGTGGCTTGATATGAGTGCATCGGAATTCATGGCAGGTGTCGGGTCTCTGGTCCCAGGCGTAGGAGACGAGCCGATGAATCCGTCTTCATTCTCAGTAGGGGCGAGAGTGGGCGTTAGAGGAAGTCTGGTCAGTGATTCTCCATGTAGTTTGCGTACATGACGAGGAGTATCGAAGCCCAATTTGCGTGGAGTACTAGCTGGCGACGAAGATTGAATCGATTCAATCATCGAAAACATTTCGTGATGGCTTTTACGCTTGTGAGATAGTGAGAGGCCATCAACAATTTGCGCATCCATGGGCTTCTGAGGGTTGCTCGGCAACTGGGGTTCACGGAACTGTTCGGTTGGCTTGAGAGCCACAGAGGGGTCTTCAGTGCGTATGACGGGAGACGAAAGCTGATTGTCCTGTGACGGCTGATGCAATGACTGATTCATTTTGTCTTGCGGAGGAGGTGGGGATAACATCTCGGTATCCTGATCACCGTCTTGCGGAGGCAAGGTTGCAGCCTGGATCCTGGACTCGGCAGTTTGTACGGCTTGCAAAATGGTGGCTGGGGTGACAAAAGCCTGTGAGCCAAAGGTCAAGCCCCAAAGTTCGACATATCTCTTGGCTGTTGACATATGCGAAGACTCCAACCCGGCGCAAAGAATAGGCTCGAAGTCTTTCAAAGAAGGTAGGTCATGGGAAACTGATGTTTGCAGAGTATTGATGGTAGCTGATGAGAGCGCACGGCAAGCCGTCAGGGTTCTGCTGTCAACACCGCAGTCAACATGGATTTTGTGAGATTCATCCTTTAACCAAACACCGATTGAGGACTGGAGACATTGAAGAATTTGGCTTTGGAACTGCGGAACACCGGTGCCAAGAAAAGAAGTCAATGCCTCTATGAAGTCAGGAAGGCCACTGGATTGTGATGCGTTGAAATTGTCATATGCGCCATGTAATGTCTGGGCAATTGATGCGAGGAGTTTATGAGGAAAGATGGCATGACCGGCTGCCTGGATACCACTGCGATCAATCCCTAGCCCGGTTCCTTGCATGAAAGGGATAGATAAAGAATGACTAAGCAACGAAGTTGAGGGGAGGTAGGTATCTCCAGCAGAAAGATGCATGAGGCGTTCGGCCATGGGTTCCACAATCATATCGGCAACCGCTTGGTTCCCTTTCTCTGTTCTAACGACGCGAACAAAAATTTCGAGCAAGTGAGACCACTCTTGAAAGGCCGATGGAAATGAAAGTCCAAACGAGAGAATCTTGATGACATTTTCATAGTCACGGGATACAGAGCCGTCGCGACCACGAGCGGACTCCATAGGGAACGACTGCAAAGCACCTGCGGCCGCCTGGGCAGTAGCCTTCCAAATCACCTCAGACAGTTGGACCGCACGAGGGATAGCACTGCTTTTTGTGATGCTCAATTCTGCACTCTGCTGGAGAAGCTCTAGGCGAGATCCTCGGGAGAATCTCCCGTTGCATGCCGCGTCAATGTTACCTAAAACAAGGTGTGTATAAGACTTGCTTGGCACTATTGTCCCTGCAGTGCTGCTGATTATTCGAAGGAGATGAAGAATAGCACTTTCTTGTGTCGTATTCGGGTGTGAATGTTTGGAAATGTTGTCGGTTCCATCCGCGTTTCTCAAAAGAAGCTTTTCGGTAAACGGAATGCCCCCAATAGAAACAATCATTGTGGTAGACAAGAATCTGAATCTTTCGAAGAAAATATCTGTGCTGTTGGCATTCAACGAGGGCGGCCCTGCAATCCAAAGGCGGTGCAGTAGACTCCAAACGCTAGCAACGGCTTGCATCGACTCCCCCGAGGGGGTAATCTCTTTGCTGGACGCAAGCGATAACGCACTGCACAGACTGTTCCAGGCCAATGCCACGTGAGATTGGCCAACTGCGTCATCGATCCAAACTGATGCTTTGAATATATGCTCAAAAACCTTCAGAATTGAGGTAATTCTTGATCGAACCCATCTGCTGTCAGCTGCAGGAAGTTCCTCTGCTTCCATTTTGGTAGTGTCATTGATTCGATTCTCTGTCCATAACTTAGCCTGCGTACTCCACAGCAGGTTCGTCAATATGCGTGAAAGACAGTCACTGAGAACCGGGACTGATGAGAAAATTCCTGAGGACGGCATTACCACGTATTCTTCCCATATAATATCTAGGTGCTGATAAGAAACTGAAGGGCGGAAAGTGTAGTATAGCAGATTGTAGTAGCTGGTCAGAGCAACTGGAGTGGGCGGTGATCCTGATTTGTCGGTCTTCCTGCGGTCGAATTGAGAAAGTACCGGTTTTCCCAGCATGTGTAGGATCGCTCGGGGCGTCGATTCGTTGGGGTTGATAGCAGAGACAAATCGATTCCAACCAACGATAGCCTGCGTCTTGATCGCTAGGTCGCTGCAATTGAAGCATTTTTGGACCACGAGAACCCACTCCTTAAAATGATCCCATTTCTCCAGATTCCATCTTTTGTTGCGGAGAAGAAGGATAATGACGCTCCAAATTTGAGGAACGTGCTCACCGCTATCCACCGACGCCATCATTCGTGTCATGCGCTCACGAACCTCTGATACAAGCTTTCGGCCGTGCTCTAATGGCCGGTCGAAGAGATCCTGGATGTTTTTTGACAGTGTAGGATTAGGACCGGCTTCTGTGGCCACCTGCAGGCCAAATGCGATCGCTTTTGACCTGGTATCCTTCAAATGATGAAGCAGCCCAAATATCAAATGTTCGATCCATAGGTTGGCTTGGGAGATAAAAGTAGTCTTGGCTTGGCCCAGCAGCCGCTGGTAAATGTTCAATCGATGGGAAACAATTGCGTTGCCACTGATATTCTTGGTTACCTCTTGCAGTACCGTCAAAAGACGAGCCACACGGGCACCGGTCATAATCTTGGGGCCAAAGGTTTGAGTAGACAATATGGACATGTAGTGCGTCAAAACAGACTTCGGGGCCTTGGCCTCATGTAGACAAGTGATGGAGTGGTCGACCAGAAAGATTTTGAATTCCTCTGAAAGCTGTGTCGAAATTTCCGGATGCCAAACAAATGCAGCTGACAGTTTCAGAGCCTGGCTGGCAAGGTTTGTATCGATAGGGGAGACGTTCGCAAGGTCCAGATTCACATCTCGCTGAATAAACTCGGTGATGAGATTCAGTTTTTCGGTAATCTTCTGACCCGCCGGAAGCCCATCATACGTTCGTAGCGCGCCATAGAATTGCATGTAGGCATCGAGTCGGGAGGTCATTGACTCGCCTGCCAGTTGTTGGGTGACCGATTCGAGCAGCATGGCAAGCGATTCGGCGGTGAATGCATCGACATTAGGTGACCAAACAGGAATTGGTGACTGGGTTGCTTTCAGGATCGACTTCTTAGGCTTGGAATTCGGGGACGGAGAAATAGCCTTGAAGTCGGGGGCCGATTTCATAGCACTAGCGAAGGTTGGTGGTTTGATGTACTTGGGCCATGGCGAGAAATTCACTTTCTTCGAACTGCGGCTGGACGGGCCAGCTTCCGCCGATTCCAGCGTGGAAAATGATGACTCCTTAGGTGTTTGAACTGCTAGTGGTGACTCGGTGTTTTCAATCACGATGCGCGAGGCTGTCCTTGGGGGTGTAGGCGGACGAGCAGAGAGGATCTCCACCATGATTTGGATCAGACAAGAAGTGTGAAAAAGGAAAATAAGCAATAGTGAAGGATCATTGCTGAAGGAGACGCTGTTCAGACCCTGTCCATGATCTGTTCTAGACTGAAGCTGAAGAATCAAGAAGCCACATCCAGCCGAGAAAACTAAGTTCAAGTTCCGACGCGCCGCGATGCGCGTAAAGTGTCACCGCCTGAGGCGACGAGGCACCAATACGCGGACTTTTCATGCGATCGACTATAGCTTCAATAATCATCAGGTATTTTGGTGTATAGGCATGATATAATCAACATTCAACAATAATCAGTATTGAGTATTTGATATTAAATGTCTGACTTTTCGATTTATGTCGCATTCTTCCCAGCAAACGGTGAAGCTCAAAAGTTCACGTTATACAAAAGATCTAAACTCGATTGTGTATGATATAGCTTCCCTTATAATAAAGTACTAATAATTGTTATATGTATAAATAGAAATGTCTGGAGAAGAGGTTCTTAGGTGAAGCTTAAGTGGGGGGGGTCGCCAAATAATTTATGACGATTTGCGTCTGACTTCCCCGCGTAGCTCTCTCTCCTTTTTTTTGGTTCTCTCGTCAATAGCTACCTGCGCATGCTAATCTGATCTTACTCTTGTACTGTGTGTAGGAGAATCTACTTCACCACAATACGTCGGCGAAAGTGACACAGTCCTACATCACCCCCCTACTCGGAACAATCGGGTCATTCCGAGCTCAGACCAGTATGGCATTTCTTCAGATGCAAGGAACAGGTGCGTTGTGGAGATTGTGAAGCTTCACCCTGGCAATCAGGTTGACTTATTCGATATTGCGCATACAGCGAAGCTGCAGCAAGTGACACAGCTTCTAAAATCTCTTGAAAAAGACCTACAAGAAAACAACCTCTCAACAGCAGGTAAGTCGGATGCAATTACCCTGATACTGTGCACACGCCTAATGCTGACCCAATCTACTACTAGACCGAGTCCAAACCCTCCTCCAGCTCCGACAACACGGCACAAGCCCTACCAACGCAGAACCGATCTATTCACAGAATGTACGAGCACAACGAATAAAGCTGCCCATCGAGAATTAAGATTACCATTGATTCTGATCATTTATAGGGCATTAATACATTGGTTCGGTATGGCGTTGAGGGGGAGACCCCTGATGTATGTCGAGCGGCATTGCGATGTGTTGCAAATGCGCTATTACTTGACCCCAAGATGCGCCAGGCTTTTGTGGCCACGGGATACAGTGGAAAGCTAGCAGAAAAGCTTAAGGTACTCCCGCAGCAGATCAAATGCCAGTATCAAAGCTGACACTGATCTTTGATAGACCGAAGACTCAGAGGACGAGATGGTTACAAGTCGGATATTGTTCTACGCGACTTATAACACCACACTGGACTTTAAGGATTTGATCAAGAGCCATGCATTGGGGGAGAATGTCAACTACGTGAGTGGATTGCCAGACTCGGAAGTTGATGTGCTGTGCTGACCAGCATAGCAATTGAGCCGTCATGCGAAGCAGTTCCCCAAGTCAGGGAGAAAGCCATTGTCACAAATGGATGAGCTCGCATTATCTGACACCCTCAAGTTGATATACAATATCTCCAAGATATTTCCCGATCTTGTTACCGAGTTCTCCCCTTCCATCCCTCATATTTTGAAGATTATATGTCGCATTGATATCCCACCAAAGCCCCTAGATGGGTTACTTGGTGGCTTGCTCAATACATTGTCTATCCTTGACTTGGAGGAAAAGAAAGGCAAGGTTTTCGAAAGCAGCCCCCTTTTCCCGACATTCGACAACAATTGCAACGTGGATAAGTTGATCAGCATCTTAGATCAGGCCATATCCACATATAGCCCTAAGGAGTTAGAGGCAGCCGCAATCCCGTTGCTTTATTCACTTATCGCTATCCACGAAGTGGCACCCGATGGACCCCGCGAGCATATGCAGTTGCTTCTTCTGCCCGAGAACACTGACCGGAGCTTGCCAATTGGACAGTCTGAAACACTTCCTTCAAAACTTCTAAAGCTCTCGACAAGCCACTTTGCCAATCTGAAGGTGACAATTTCCGAGCTGATGTTCGTTTTATCGGATAAGGATGCCGAGAAACTCACTAAGAATATTGGCTACGGCTTCGCTGCTGGATTCCTGGCAGCGCGCGGCATTGAGATGCCACAGAGTGCAAGTGAAGCATATTCAGCCGAAGACGACCCTGAAACCGCACGCAATCCAATCACTGGACAACGGTGGGCCGCTGAGCCACAGGACTCCGGTCCGCCTATGACCATGGAGGAGAAGGAGCGTGAAGCAGAGAGACTCTTTGTGCTATTTGAGAGGTATGTGCATTATAAGCGAGCTATATAGTGAGTGCTCTTGCTAACAAATATCATAGGGCCAAAGCAAATGGTCTCCTCAATGTCGAGAACCCCGTGACTCAGGCTCTCCACGAGGGAAGATTCGAAGAACTGCCAGATGATACCGATAGTGACTGAGCATTAAATTTTGCTCTCAGTTTCAATCTCACAAGATCAGCTTTTGAGCCCTTATCTGGAAGCATGGCTTTTAGGCTTGATTCACTGCATAATATACCCTACAATAGGTCTGTAGCGATGCGGGCGTCAATTTCAAATATATATGGAAATTTCAGCTCGGTTCAATCAATTAAAAGGGAACTATACATCCACCCATGCATAACAGCGAATTAAATATAGTTGAGCTGGACATGACGCTGAAACGATTTATACCCGTGGACTGCGGGCGGAATGACGTTATGCAAAGCGGAGGGTGCTCCCCGCCCGTCAAAAAAATTATGCGCGGGGCACTGAACACTCCCACTTGATTTCCTTCCCACTCGTCATATCACTGCTTTCTTGCGTTCGTATTTCAAAGAATTTAGTTTACACGCAACCGTCAAAATGTCGAAGCCATTCAACCCCGAGGAGGCGGAGAATCTGGAGGATGTACGACCCCGCGTCCATATGGTCTACAGACCGAAGAAGTTTGATCGCTAACAATCGCAATAGATGGAGAAGCAGTTTGCCGTCAAAGGTCAGTCACGCCTCGATTTACATCCCATTTGAAACATCGGATAAGGTCATAATATTGACATCTTGTTACATTGCAGCGGTTGAACACCTCATGACATACTGGGCTATTTTGGAGAAGGTCAAGGGCTCGCAGCTTCGCTTGACCAAGCAGGACAATGAGATCTACGAGTCATTCATGGAGGCATTCCCCGATTTCGATCCCGCCGGAACCCTCATCGAGGACGAGATGAAGAGCAAGGCTGGCAAGGAGAAGTGGCGCACCTGGATGATGAAGTGGAACAAGATCGAGGACTTCAACTTTGGCACCATGATCCGTACCCGTGCGGATGCCGAGTATGACCAGGATACCACCATTTTCGGTGTGCGCATGCAGTTCTACGCTGTTGAGATCGCTAGGTTAGTGCCGATTGGAGCCGGCTGAGTCACGCATGGAAACTGACAGAGTCCTCTAGAAATCGCGCCGGTCTGAACGATTGGATTTACGAGAAGGCCCAGAAGGCCAGCTCTTGATTACAAATAGTGTCTCAATGCTGCTGTTTTTGAAATCGAGGGCAGTTCCACATCCGGGCTGATCTGGCCCACGGCATTTGCCTGTTTCCTTGTGGCGCAGATGATGAATGGCCTCGAGGCTGTGATACTGATTGCAAGACCTCGCAGTATCACGGCTCGAGATTGATTGTTACGATAGAATTGTGGTCATGTCCCATAAATGTGTGGTTCTGATTTAGCATCGGACCATCAATCGCGACTCAAATATAGATTGGCTGTCTGGTCGGACCTGGACAGTCTTTCGATATTGCGTTCGAAATATACCCTGAATAAAATGTCATTTTCATTGGTTTTTCCTCTGGTCTTTTTTTTTATCTTCCCAAACGTTATTTCAGGACCGGTTTGCTAGGACCCTCATTGGGGTGGTTGCGCCCATCGCGCATCAAACATTCACCTTCTAGCCCTAGGTTTCTTCGACTGTTAGAGATCTGCCATCAACAGTGAAGGCTGTAAATGCTGTCTCAAGGTTAAAGCCGATCAATGGTACATTCATCCCACGTGCTTCGCAACAATGCCAGAGCATGGGTGTCTTTGTCCGCCCCTCTTCAATGTTACTCCATTGGGAAATTTCTTAGTATTGTTCTTCCTGTCGATTATATTTGTGAAACAACACTCAAAATGGCCCGTCATGACTATTTCATGCCGATCTGTATCCTCTTCCATCTTGCCTTACTGCTATGCTACTATAGCGCAGCAAGAAAAATCTTCACGAGTCATACCAGGCCTTCAATGTGACGTTCGAGCCTTTCGTCAAAATGTTGCCCAAACGCAAGACTTCCGATCGGAATGACATCAACAAAGAAAATATTCCCGAAAGCAATCCGGGATGGAAATCGCTCTTCCGATTCACGACTAGAAGGCATCTGCCGACTCTCATATTCGGATCTATATTCGCCCTGGTTGCTAGTCTCGTCACGCCGGCACTTGCAATCTTCCTTGGCAATGTTTTCGACTCGTTTACCTCTTTCGGTGCCGATCACACTGATTCCAAAGGGCTTCATAGCCAAGTAATCACAAATTGCTTTGGAATGATCGGACTGGGAGTAGCTGGTTGGTTTTTGAACGGTGCATACTATGCTCTATTCGTTGCATTCGGGGAAATGCAGGCCTCCGTTATTCGTAGCCAAGTGTTTCTAGAGCTGCTAGATCGCGACGTTGAGTGGTTTGAGGCCAAAAGCGAGGGCTCCGGGGCTTTGCTGTCGGGAATTCAAGCGTGAGTTTGTCACTATACTCGCTAAAATCTTATATCTAACATTGCATTGTTTCTAGACATATTCATGAAATGCAGATGGCGACATCGCAGCCACTCGGACTTGTACTGCAATACTCATGCCGCTCACTGGCTTCGCTAGGGCTGGGCTTCTACACATCATGGAGCCTCTCTCTGGTAACTCTTGCAGGCATCCCCATATTCTCAGCAATTATCGGATTTCTTTCCTCCAAAATGAAGTTCAGCATTACAGCCCAGCAGGCTGAGCTTATCGAAGCTTCTAAAGTTGCCAACAATGCTATCACCAATATCGACACGGTCAAATGCCTCAATGGGCAAGCCTTCGAGCATCGGAACTTTGTTGAACGCATCGAGAGATCTGCTACACACTACCTTCGACAAGCGCGACACAATTCTCTACAAATTGCTATCATCCGGTGGATGATGTTCGGGATGTTTGTTCAGGGTTTCTGGTATGGCAGTTCGCTTGCCCGCGCCGGAAAGCTCACATCCGGAGAAGTGCTCAGAACTTTCTGGGCCTGTCTGACCGCAGCTCAGTCTATTGAGCAGGTCTTGCCGCAGATGATCGTGATGGAGAAAGGAAAGGTTGCTGGTGCAGCCTTGAAATCGATAATACAAAGCCGGAGAGAAGACAAAATTGTGAGCGAGACAAAGGGAATTCGGTATCCGGAACACTGTGAAGGTGATATCGAAGTCAAAAACGTGAGTTTAAATCCTCCCCGAGGTTTTATTCGGACACTAATGACTGTTTATGAAGGTGTCATTTTCATATCCTAGTCAGCCTGACAGATGTGTGCTCAAGCCGTCGAGCTTTTTCTTCCCCGCCGGAGAAACGACGTTTGTTATAGGGAAGAGTGGCTCTGGTAAAAGTACACTCAGTCAACTGCTGATGCGGTTCTACTTGCCAACCTCAGGTGAAATCCTGATTGACCGCAACCCAATGCAAGAACTTGACACCAAGTGGATTCGCAACAATATTACTCTTCTAGAGCAAAAGAGTGTTCTCTTCAATGAGTCTGTGCTCACAAACATCGCATTCGGTCGCCAGGACCATGCAACTGTCACCAAGCAAGATGTCAAAGATCTCATCGAGTTGGCCATGCTTGAGAAAACAATTGACAGTCTCCCCAAAGGACTCGACACTTGCGTTGGCCCGGGTGGAAGCTTTTTGAGCGGCGGCCAAAGGCAGCGAGTTGCGATTGCCAGAGCGAAATTACGGGACACACCAATCCTGATCCTGGATGAACCCACCAGCGCTCTTGATCACACCAACCGAGTCGCAGTGATGAAAGCAATCCGCGAATGGCGGAAAGGAAAGACGACTATCATCATCACTCACGATATGTCACAAATCATGGAACAGGATTTCCTGTACATCCTCGAACAAGGTTCGATTGTGAACTCCGGTTACAGATATGCCGTCGAGGTCAGTCCGGGGAGCGAAAAGTATTTCCATACGAAAGCCGGCGGTCATCTGGAAACCAAGACCCAGAACAAGAGGGACGTTCCGTGGGAGAGCTCATCATCGGAGAGCTTGGACACCTTGAGACCTCCAACAGCTTTCTTCGGACATCCTCGGTCCAGAACATCCTGGGCTCAGGGCCACATTCCCCCGAGCTTTCGCTCTGGCTCGCTGGACTTGACGACGAAAAGGAATTCGGAATATATGGTCAGGAATGGGGATTCCCCTGTGCGAGATTGGAGCCAACGTCATTTTTCCATGGCAGAAGCACGTATTCCCCAACAGGACTTGAAAGAAATAACTATTCCCACGGAAGAAGTCGAAATGGTTCGCATTGATGATCAGGGCTTGAAGTCGGATCCATGGCCCAATGGACATACCGCGAAAGAACTATCCGGAACGAAGCGCAGCCGAAGACCTCATGGCCGCCGCAAGAAATCACAAGAGCAGCACCTACAGAAAGAACGAATGACTCCGCTTTCTCAAATTATGGGCACCATTCTGTTGACTTTGACGATGAGACAGCGAATCACCCTCTTCCTGGGATTCGCGGCAGCACTAGCCCATGCAAGCGCAACTCCGATATTCTCATATTGTCTGTCGCAGCTATTTGGAACATTCTATACTGGGTCCAACAGTGGGCATCTGACAATGACATGGTCACTTGCTGTACTAGGGGTGTCTCTCGGCGATGGCCTTGCGTCCTTTTTCATGCATTACTTCCTAGAAATCTGCGGCGAGGCTTGGCTAGATTCTTTTAGAAAGAATGCCTTTGAACGCATTCTCGATCAGCCGCGGGCCTGGTTTGAGAAAGATGGTAACGGATCTCTCAGACTCACATCGTCTCTCGATCAGAATGGAGAAGACATGCGAAATCTACTAGGCCGATTCGCCGGTTTTGTGGTTGTTGCTGCATCAATCACCGTTATGGCAATTATCTGGAGTTTGATTGTTTGCTGGAAGTTAACGCTTGTTGCTCTTTCCTGTGGGCCTGTCATTTATGTTATCACTCGAGGTTTTGAGGGAACAAATGGGTTATGGGAAAGACGATGCAATGACGCGAAGAATATCGCCGCTGATGTCTTTACCGAGACCTTTTCAGAGATCCGTACCGTGAGAACATTGACGTTGGAAGGTCACTTCCATCGCAAACAAGCTAATGCGATCGCGCGTTGCTTGTTGCTAGGGTTAAAACGTGCCATTTATACAGGCATGCTTTTCGGTATGGTAGAATCGACGGTCATATTTTCTAGCGGTAAGCTCGCTAATTCTCTACTTGGTTGCTATTGTTCTGACTCTGTTCAACAGCTTTGATCTTCTATTATGGATCGGTGCTCGCCGCATCTCGCGAATTCAATGTGAACGATGTGATGATGGTATTCTCGATGCTACTTTTCAGCATTGGATACGCTGCTCAGATTCTCTCATGGAGTTAGTAGATCCTGAACCACTTCGAAATACTCTACTAACCTCTTATAGTTCCCCAGATCAATACCTCCCGCGAGATAGCGACACACCTTATTCGTCTTGCAAACCTCCCACAAGATGGATCCCACGAATATTTCGGCAGCTTAACGGTTTCGAAGCTCACCCCAATCAAGCTCACTAACCTGAATTTCCAATATCCCTCTCGGCCAAACACAATGGTTTTGAAGAATGTCTCGATTTCCATCCCACCCAACTCCTGTACGGCGCTCGTAGGTCGATCAGGTTCAGGAAAATCCACGATCGCGTCACTGCTATTATCACTCTACGAAGCTCCGGCCTCTCAAGCCGGACAACCCACAGTGACACTGGGCGGCGCGGACATTCTTCGGTTACATGTTCCTACTCTCCGCTCACAGATCTCCGTTGTATCGCAACAACCAACCATTTTCCCCGGCACCATTCATGAGAACATCAGTTACGGGCTAGATCAGCACTCACCTCTAGCTTCATCTCATAGTGTGCGAACTGCAGCCCAAGGGGCAGGGATTGATGATTTTATCTCATCTCTCTCTCAGGGGTACAATACTGTGATTGGAGATGGTGGAGTTGGTCTTTCCGGTGGCCAGAAACAGCGTGTGGTCATTGCACGAGCTCTTTTGCGTCAACCTCAAATCCTGATTCTCGATGAAGCCACATCCAGCTTAGACCCAGCGGGTGCGGAGATTGTGCGGCAAACAGTTCAGCAGTTGGTTGCCGTGCGCCAGGGGCTTACTGTCATCATTATCACGCACTCAAAGGAAATGATCGAGATCGCGAATCATGTCGTTGTTCTTGACCAGG